CTACTCATTCATTGTTTATTTTTTTATTACCTGTTTGCCTTAAAATTATCTCAGTCTGTTTTGCAATCCCCAGACTCCTTCACAGAGAAGCCTTAAAGTTACCATGTAAATCACAGATCTCCTCATTCTATATACTCAGACAGGGAGCAATAAAGAAGCTATAAAAAGAAATTTGTCACTTTTTCAGCTTATCATCTAAGTGTAATTTGATGGTACTTTACACAGGAAAGAAGCTGACCTCTTGCCTATACTATTTGTCTGGAAGAGGAGAAGAAAGATGGGGTTTTAAGGTGGAAAATTCCTGCAAAAGCAACAAGTTAATGGCACAGAGAGGTCGAATGGCCCGGTTGCCAGGCCTAGGTTTCACCCTGGCTCACCTCTGCAAGGAGAGGAAAAACACGTCCCATCTATCTATGGTGCCGGTTGGAGGAAAGAGTTCAGAGCAGCAGGGACCTTGATTTACAGCCCAGCTGTCCTCACTCATAGGACATGATCAAAGCATCAGCGATCCCCCACTGGAGTGATGGGAAGAAACGGCTGACTGGCTATCTGCTTGGCATGTTCAGCTCTAGCATGAGGCCAAGGCAAGCGCTTTGTTTTCATGGACCAGAGCTTCTCAGAGTGGCTGCTGAGAGGAAGTGACTGAAAACTAATTCTCAATTAAGTTGGGGAGCCAGTAGGTGGGAAGTTCCACTAAGGCCAAAGGACTATAATCTCGTCTAGATGTGACCTTGTGTTAAGAAAGAAAAGGGTGTGAGACATCCTGTCCCCAAATTTCCTGGTGTGCCCTGGAGGAGGTCATGGCTCTGAAATCTTGTGCTCCTCTTCCACTGTGGGCTGATTCACCCATTTGGAGACCCAGTTACCACAACATGTGCAGACACCCCACCAGACAGAGCAACTTGGGATGCAGCCCTCCACGTTGACGCGTGGGACCGGGCCATAATCCTAGTGTGGTTATGTGATATGTGTGCCCTCTCCGAGGCTGCAAGTCATGAACCAAGGCTGCACTCAGAGCAGAGATGACTGGAGTCTCCTTACTCCTTGACTGCAGCATGCAAAATGAGGACATCAGCAGAGACACAGCTCCACAGGGACAGGCAGCTTAGCGTCCTGGAGGAAAGGTGTAAGGCACAGGACATGCCTGGTGCTGTGCTATTTCCAGAGCATGGGGACGAACGGTTTCTTTGGGATTTGACGGCAGGGCTTGCATGTCTGTGTAATTGTGCTGCCAACCTGAGTTAGATGGCACAACACAGACCCCTCACACGCATCGGTGATGTCTGGCTTACCAAGCCTGCCTCACCTCTCAGTGCGTGCTTGGAAAAGGAAGGGCTTCCACCCATATTAAGCAGATAGACAGGAAAACTGGCTGAAACGATCCTCATGCTAGCAATCCCACAGCTTGCCTGCAACCCCAGCAGCACCGACTCCACCACAGCATGGTGTTGTGTGTGTTGGATTATTTCATCTTTGCAAACGTCTTGAGGAGAAAAGCAAAGAAGGGTCTTTGTGGAAATATCTTGCAGGTTGCAGATGAAGGGGTGGCTCCAGGACAGCCTCTGGAGGTGCCACTCGCAGCCTACATAGGACGGCACAGCCACGGAGCACGTGGGCTTCATAAAGATACTGGGTCCCCTCCCCAGGGAAGGCTGCCAAGGAAGCTGATTAACGCCTGGAGAGATGACTGACCTTCCCTGGTGAGCCGGGGGGGAGAGGTTAGTGGGGAAAGGGGCTGTGATTTTGGGACATAAATACGAGCTAGAGGAAATAAGGGAATCCTTGAGTCACCAAAATGACAGACCCAGCCAGGAGGGATGCAGAGAGGACAGTCCCTGTGGTAAGTACTGCTTGGGCATATATAGGATGGAGGTAGTCCTTTTGGACAGGGATAGTTTTCATTTAGGACCAGTCCTGCAACCTCAGCTGTGACACCTCAGACTCCCAGACTGGAAAATACAGCAAAATGCATAATTCTACCTCCAGCTTGTTTATTCCTTTGGTTCCTCCAACCACCTCCTCACCTTAGCCTCTAAGCTCTAATCCTCCACATTTACATCATACTGCCTCTGAATGGGGATCACTCTTAACCTACACAGAAGCTTCCTTCTTCAGACCTGCTCTCACCAAAGAAGTCACAACCTGAGGCCCCAGCCACCTGCGCAGCCACCTTTCCCTAATGCCACCACCCGCATGAGGGAAGTGGTTGAAACGGAACACCCACGCCCGGTCTTGACCCCTGGCACTGTTGCCATTTCCAGTTTTATTCAGTATGGTTTCCTGGATAAACAGCTGGATTTTCCTCTCCTGACCCTTCATAAATATTATTTCAAGAGTTCCTTTGAAACTGTGTAAACAATCACCTGTTTTCCACCTGCACACAATATTTTTGCTGTCCTTTAATATGCAGATTGGTTGTCCTAGTTCCTGCGTATGTTAGCATTCCCCTCCAGTGGCTCTCGCTTCTGTTTACCTCTTAAACAACAAGTTATTGCCTTTCACTCACAGCCTTGAATTTCTTGCATCCCAAATAATTTCATGGTATTCCGGTCACAACAATGACAGAGGTTTCTTACAGCGCTGGAGGCCTGTGGCTACTTCACATAAATATCAAGGATCCTGTCAAAAAGGCCCATCCTGCCTGGGTTTTCTTCTTTGAAGAGCTAAAATGCTAAACCTTGATGTCTTCTATTACTGTAGGATTTGAGTGAGAGAGGGGGAACCTCCCTTTAGGTGCCTGAAAGTTTGTCTTTTTCCTAACTGCAAGATTTGGTCCAACCATCCCTGGAGGTATTTTGAAGACATGTAGCACTCAGGGACACGGTTTAGTGGTGGACTTGGTAGTGTTATGTTAACGGTTGAACTCGATGATCTCAAGGGTCTCTTCTGACCTAAATGATTCTACGATTCTGCAAGTAAAAGGCATACTTTCTCCCCATGACTATTTATTTATTTATATTCTTTTATCTGCCACAGCTACAACACAAATACGGGAGACTGTAAATGTGAAGGGATGGGGTGAGGCAGCAGAAACAGTCACCCCATCTATATTTCAGGACTTAGTGCAACCATAAAAAACATTCCTGATAAAATCCTGGAAGTAAAATCAGCAATGACTGCATCATCATCATCATAAAGGCACCAAGAAGTCAACCGAAAGCAACCGCAAAGGGGATTCTCAGAGGCCTCCAAATTTTGCCGACATACTGCTACTGCTATCTTTTTTTGTACATATTAGCTGCCAGCCCATCTTGAGCAACCTCTCTGAAGCAAGCTGTGGACAAGTGTGGCAGCCAGAGGCTGTTTTTCCTCTGCTCTTGTCTTCTGCTTGAAGACCTTTGCTCCCTCAGCAAATCCTGACAAACTATATGGCACTTGAATGAACAGCTTAACAGTAAACACAGAGCAGGACCAAAGGTGAGGTAAACAGGAGGCCGTGAAAAGCAAGCAGCATAGCCCAGCAGCTCTCAATGATCCGGGAACAAGGGGCAGAGTTGAGGTCCAGGAGTTGGACTGAGACTGATGTTTGCTTGCCCCTGAGATCACAGGACACTGTTTTGAGGACCCTTTCCACAGGGTTCCTGTAGGAAATTCACTGGCTGTTAACAGCAATGTAGAAGGGAAGAGCAAGACGAATACTCACTGCCTGGTCATCCATCACCCTGGCTTTGTTAGCAGGAACGGGATCCTCCTGTGGTTTATCCTCCCTCCACGAGCATAGCTCCCTGGGACAGGAGTTTCCTTTCACTGGGTTTGCACAACACACAGATCCAGAGAGAATCAGTGGAAATACTTAGTAATAGATAAGTGTTGTTTCTCTAAGAGCAGGCTTGCATTGCTCTTGGCAATATTTGACAGAGCCAGCTTCAAAATGCTTGCCCTGGCCCAGGAATGTGGAAAAGCTCAGCAAGACCACACTGGGAAGGCGCCTCATTTCTTGTGGAGGAGGCTGGGATCAGTTGCTCTCTCTACAGCCAAGGCTACCTGCAAGACCTGAGCTCACTTGCCTTCCCCCCAGCACCTCCACGAACACATGTGGCTTCATGGTGCAGTGAAAAGAGGCATCAAGGGCACAGCCATAGATCCAGAATGACTTTAACAGGCGATATGCGCTTGGAGCGCTGCAGCTGCATCGCACCAGCTGTAGACCTGCCAGCAACATGTTGGTGAAGCTGCTTCTGCATTATAGAATCACAGAATAGTTTGGGTTTGAAGGGACCTTCAAAGGTCATCTAGTCTAACCCCCCTGCAATGAACAGGAGCATCTTCAAATAGATCAGGTTGATATTTGTCTCCATACCACACCTAGAAGGGCCACAGCTGAAACCAGTGTCTGCAGGCAGAGCAGGCTGGAATGCTTTTAAACACAGCTTTTCATCCTAAAGTATGTTGTGATTAAAAGCATTGTTTTTAATAACCAGATATTGATGTCAGTGGAAATTTCCTCTGGCAAAATATATCAGTATGGGCATCATCTTTGCTCTGGGTTGAGAAATACATCTTCATAAATATATAAAATTCAAAATTTTATCCCAGTTTTCATGGTAAAGCTTTTAACTGCATGAGAGCTTCTCAGCTTGCACATCCCCATATGAAAGACTTGAAATATTGGAGTTTTATTTCCTTCCTTAAATCATGATGGGCAGCTGTTATTTATTACTAATTTAAACACCTTATCTTTTTTCACAGATCAAAGTGTCTCCTGTTTGTTTTGTAATGAAGCAGTTTGACACTTTCTGTGTTTGACTTTTTGTCAGACTGTTTCATTGCAAAACAAACAAAGGTCGCTTTGATCTGTAGAGAAAGATAAGAATTTTTTAATTAGTACTGTATAACAGCTGCCCTTAATTGGGTTTAAAAATAGCAGAATGGAAGGCTTCAAACCTCTTGCCATATATTCTACACTAAAACTTTATCCTAAAACAGGCAGCAATCATTGTAAAACATGAAAAGGGCATGAATTAGAATTTTTAGCTGATGTTTTGAAATTCTGAAATGTGAATGAAATACAAAATGCAAAACCCAAGATCCCAAACTGGAAACTCTCTGAGAATCCATTTTGTAAGGAAAGTCCAAAAAAATACTGATTTGACTTGCAAATATCTTTCAGAATTCCTCTTCCCAGGGAAAAGTTGAGGGCCTCACCCTGAAAATTAACAGGCTAAGAAGAACTTACATCACTGGCCCAATTTTTTGGCATGTTAGGACAACCCATGGCCTTGGTGTTTCCCCAGCTCCTCATCGCTTCTAGACACTGAAATAGCCACATCTGTGAGATTCATATCTGCTGCTCTGAATGAACATTGCCTCAAGCAGCAGAGTCCCAGTCTTGGCTGGCACCTAACCATGCTGCAGATGAATAGCAATAAAGCATCTTTTGGCAAGGAGACAGCACTTCTTTCCCGTCGGGTTCACATTTTGATGCAGCCTTTCCAGAGGCAACCACCCCTGAATTTAGTCCCCCTAACTCTGGGTTGGGCACCAACTTCAAACACCAGACTCTGAATCTCTGCACCAGCTCTGTATCAAATCTGGGGTCAAATCCAGACTTTCAGCCCTCTTCTCCAAACCAATTCCCCAGCTGGGCGATAGCTGCCTAAGGGAACTGCTTCATGCTTTCTGATCGCAGCGGCTCCCAGCGGCAGTGATTCACCCAAAAATCTTTGTCTCGAGGGGAACGCCGATGTCTGCACCAGATGGGCGTCTTCCCTGCTGCTGACTCCTACCCCTGGATTTTGCTCCTGCAGGGAGCCAGATGAATGACTACCAGCTTTCACACGTCCCAAGGCCAGAGGCATGTCTCATTTCAGCGAACTCACCAGAACACCACCACCAAATACACCCTCTCTTCTGAGAGCATCGAGGAGGGTGGTCTGTCCCACTCACCACTGCAGAGGTCCCTGGCACAGCTAAAGGACCTGCTCCACATGGAGATGGGAGGGATGGCAAGGGAAAACGGCAGTGTCCCTCCCAGCAGCCCATCTCCGCTAGGAGCCAACAGCACATGCTTCATGGGAGGTAGTAAAACCCTCATAGTGGACAGTTATGCAATAGGCTTCCTTGTCTAGCTCGCAGCAATTACTGTCGTGCGAGATGAAGATTTATATCCCATGTAGGTTTTTATCCCAGCTGGCGTAGGGGTGGATGATATTTTTATTGCTCCTGTATGGAAAATGTGAAAGTAATGTCTTCCCAAGCTCTTGGCCCCAGTCATATTTTCAAACAGTGAATTCCACAGGTTACATACTGAGTAACACAGCATGTTTGTTTATTAGTATTGCAGGTGCAGTATTTTAAGTCCTGAGCTTTTTCTTTCTCATTCTGGTATTTTAAAGAGGTTAAATAGCAGGGTCTTGTATGCCTTCTTCCTGCCATTGTTCTTTTCATACCTCTGTCACATCCCTCTCACTAAATTAATGATCCTAATCTTTTCTTCGTGAAATTCTCCTAGGTCCTCTAATAATTTGGATCATCTATCTTTAGATATCTTCTATTTCTGATATGTCTTTGAGAAAAGTGACAAAATCTGTGCACATCTTTTCAAATGTAGGCATCATTTCGGTTCATAGGAAGGTATTATAATGCAACCTTTTCAGCGTTAGCTTGCTATTGCAATCACTGTTGCTCAAGGAGCCTTAAAAGGACCTTGATGTTTTCCTGAGTAAGAAATAATTAATTTAGGGCCTGTCATGTTACATAAGTAGTTTAAATTGATCTTTCATGTTGCATTACCTTGTACCTACCCATGCTGAAATTAAACTGCCAGCTGCCTACTCTGGAGATCCTCACGCTCTCCCCTTTCTGAGTCCTCTCAGCGTCATACATAGCCCTGGAGCCCAGGGTCCATGTTGAGTCTTACAAAACCAATGCCCAGGGCCCAGAGAAGAGCAGCAGGTGCCACACAGCCCTCTGGCAATCTTACAGTGAAGTGCAGTGGGTAACGTATCGGCCATTCTCCACCCACTGCTGGGGAAACAGCCACTGAGTGTTGCTGCTACAGCACGAGCAGGTCTGCGGGGAAGGTGATCTGGGCCCACAAAGAATGGTTGCTATCTGAGTGGCTAAATCCTGACCTCTTATTGCCCACAGGGATCCTCAGGCACTTTTAGTCCAATTTCTGCTTAATTCTTGCTCGGTACCAATAATAACATTTCTGCCAGTCTTCTCTTCCACAAGTCCTGGTGACTGCTGAGCAAGATAAAGCCCAGTTAGTCAAGCTCAGCTTGAGAGCGCAAGGTTTAGCAATCCCACTCCATTGCTATATATTTCTTCATGAGTTAAGCTAGAATTTGGCACATAACTCTAGCTCTGTACATTTGCTCCCACCTGAAAGAGCCGCCTGTGGGGCTGCTCGTCTCTTTACGTTAGCTATTTGGTTTTAATTGTCATCACTGACTCAGCACAGGCTGGAGGAGTTGCATCAGCAAAGTTGAGAGGAGTGGAAAGTGAGTTGGCTGAACCTGGATCACGAAAGCTCTGTACGCTCTTCACAGTGACAAGAAAGAGCAGAATTTAGAAGACTATTGGCAAGGATCTATAGCTCATCAAGATTTATCTTTTGGTACAAATTCTTGCTGTCGTGAAAGGGGTTTATTTAGAGTTATCTATATAAACTTGGCCAAATCCTCAGTAGTTATAAATCAGCATAGCTTCAATTACTTAAATGAAGCTGTCAATTTACAAGTTAGATAAGTATCTAGCTTGTAGTACATTCTTGAATCAAACCAGATCACCTCCTTTTCATAAATACCTGGCTGGCAGTTTTCTCTCCAGGGTCTTTGCAGACTTTCCCATCTGGAATCTAGCAGCCTCCATGTTCTTGCTGTCTTGCTGGGCATGAAGTAACACCTGAGTGTTAGCTCCATAAAGAAAAAAGCAGCACACATGGTTCTTTTACAACAGAGACCTATTAGCAAGTCAAAGCAACAGCTTGGAATGGTGGAGGCACATACGTAAGGAATCTGTGGTATTTGTAAGAAATGCAGATAGCAGAAGATTTGACTTATTTCCAAATACTACAGCAACTGTTCCTTTTAATGCACAGGGCTCTGCTCAGCCGATTGTATTGCCTGCAATAGCAATGTATTTATGGATGGCTGGAGGCAAATACACAAACCTTGCAAGAAGTTCTTGCCCCATATGCTACAAGGATAATAATTGTTCCTTCAAATCACCTTTCGCCAGCAGACCTCTGGGCACTTTGTAGACAGCAACTTCAGCATCAGGGAAACCCTCTGTGAGGCAATTAATTGGTGTTGCTGTGCTAAAAGAGTGATTCAGTAGGTTTCTTTAGGACAGTGGGAAAGGCAGGAATTAAACTCCACTAACCCACTTTTCTATTCCAGGCTACAGTCACTTCCCAAGCCTCGAACTAGAAGCCAAAAATCCTAAGTCCCATCACCAGCTACAGTATCTACTTCCCTTTTCACTGGCAGAATAATACCTGCATCTCTCAAGCCCTGAGTCCACACTTTAAACCCTACACTCTCTGTGGGATGTCACACAGAAAGATGCCTCCATTTGTTTTGAAATTATATAAACCCAGGATTCCCCTGGTCATGTGGTGGAGAGCAGCTTTCTGCTCTTCTGTTTGCTTTGGAAGTCTCCAGGGGAGATTCCTGAGACGAGGAGGAAGCCTGAGCTCTCAGAGACGGACTACTCAACTACCCTGTTTGGTCAAAAGCTGGATAAATTAATTGCAGTTCAATCTGAATCTCTGCTGCGTTTCTAGTGGTGGTGTTTCAACTCAGTCTACAAAAACAGTGAGTCCCTTTCCAGGTGACTTCTCCTTTGCCTGTTTTCTGCTTTCCTCTTCTCTACATCACATAGATATTTTCGCTGGTTTTCTACTATCCATTGAACCATATCCCCCACATCTTTCACCAGGTCTTACTCATCCTTACCCTAACTTTTTCCACTTTCTTTCTAATTATTTCTCTAAATTCAGTCTGACTTAAATGTAAACTCTCTTGCCTGACTTCAGGGTATCTTTTGTTTTCCCTGATGCTGTTTACTGCATCTTTCCTTACCTCGATACTCCTGTGCAAAGCTCCAGATGGCATTGGCTGTGTCTGTTCTCCAAGGTGTAGGAGCATTTCCCACTTTATCGAAGTCCATATCCTGGCCTCATCCTGATCTCCCACTGGGACAAAACCTGGATATACTTGGTTCTCAGTCTCTCTCCACTCTGCTCATGCCTTAACGTCCACAGGAATAAGACCAAGTTGCCTGGGCAGGAGGATACATCTCAGTCATACCTCTGCTCTGATCACTCATAAGGCACAGGAGCAGAGTCTATACCTGGTCCTGTGTATATACCCATAGTGTAAACCAGGTTTTCGTGACTATACCTGAACAATGACACAGAAATGCCACCTAGTCAAATATCTATACCCTATCTTCTTGGAATAACTTCAACCAGATATTGCACATGAGATGTGCTCAGCATCTCTAAATGTAAGATCAGCTGAGCCAAGAACTGAGATAGAAGACACCCCCCCCCCCCCAATCAAAAATACAAAAGATGGTACAAATACGGAGCCTATCACAACACAGCAGGTCAGTATCAGATTAGGTACACACCAGATCTCCTGATTGTCCCCACTGGTGCCCTCACCACAGACTACATGTAATTTCTCTCTCCTTACTCTCTTCTCATCCACCTCTCCAACCCCCTAAGCCACTCCTCTCCTTTTATTTTAAGAGCTGACTCTGCCATTTACCATCTATAAGGTGACATACGAAAACTTTCTTAGAAAACAGTCATAAAAAGAAGAAGAAAATGAAAAAGAAAGACCCAATGGAGAGCAGAAAATTACAGTGTCTGGGCCGTATTTACAATAATTATAATTATTATAAAGCACAATAGGGTGTAGAAACCCATAATTCTCCTGGTGCTTTCTGATTTTTAGATCTATGTTTAGAATGCACATGCCAGAGAAACAGAAAAGGAATGCTATGAAGTCACTTTCCTCTCTGTGTTGTAAAAGCATTGGGGGGAATATTTGTGTCTGCAGGAGCACTGGGACAAACATCTTCAGAAATGAGTCCGTCATTGTCTCAGGGTGACGTACCACCTGCTATAGCGAGAAAAGAAGCCCTCTCCTGACACCACTTCACAGGAAGAGGACCTCCTTTCTCTGCCTCCATTCATGTGTCATTTTCCTAGGACCAGACATCTCTCCCATTTCTGATGCTTTGCTGACCCCGATGCCAGACTCCACACCAGCAGCTGTGAACTCCAGCCCAGAGAAATGCAAACCTGGGAGCTGCTCCCTTCCTTACCTGAACAATTCGAGGTGGTATCTATCTGAAGACCTCCTAGTAGCACCTGAGGCAGTCTGACTAACATCTGCCCTATGGGACGCCTTCTTTCCTCATTCCTCTCCCACAGGCAGAAGTACACAGATAATGCAAGTAGTTTATTTTGCTCACCAGGTATCACAGCCAGAGAAAGTGGCTTTGAAGAAATGCCCTCATGTGTAGGAAGGCTTGTGATGGACATTTGCTCCTGCAGATAGTTATCTAGCCTACCAGAAAGTTCTCTTTCCTGCCCAGAAGAGCCTTCCCCATTTGACAACAATACTGTTGCTCATTTCTGCAGCTTTGCTCTTAAATCCCATGTAATCTCTTCAAGGAAAGAGGCTAAGATCTTCAATTCTAATAGAAGGTCTTTTATATGTATGAAAGCTCATATTCTTACCTAATTCTGCACTGCTGCTCACCTTGGGGCCAAAGCAGTTCATTCTGATGTACTCCTAGTCAGGATGACAGTATGAGACTTGTCTCCTAAACAAAAAAGAAAGGTCTCTCCACACAGCTCAATTATGTCCACAGTAGTCTGTGTTGTTGGAAAGTATATGCTTCAGCTTCCATTACCTCCACAGATTTCCCTACTCTTTCCCCCATTGGTTCAGATTCTGTCCTCCATGCCCTGACTCTTTAGCTCTGCTGTCCTGTTCCCCTAAGCAGCACATGTTCCAGCTGGTATGATATACACCAACACTTTCTTCAGGGCCACAAACACAGCAAAAGCAGCGTTCAAAGTGCTATGGAAGTGTTATACTCTTTCAGGGCTACCCAGAGAGCCTGGGACACCTTCTTAGGCCAAATAGCTGGAAGCAACCACTAGACCATAACATGGCTATCACTGTTTCTATTGCTATTGTTTTATTGCTTGTCTATGGCTGTTGCCAATGGACACTGAGGACCTTTAATTGTCTACACTAATGAGTGGGTGATAAGAGCACCTGAATGTGAAAACCCACAATGAGTTATGACTGGGAAACCTGTCTGAGTAAAAGAGCAATGCTTAGTGCCATCTGGGTAAATAGGTAGGGAATCAACAGGGACCGGCTGTGAAGGAAGAGGTGGACTGTGGTTTTGGACAGGAGTGAATATATTCTGCCCCCAGGCATCAGTTGTGGTTGGGGCTAGGTATAGGGATCAGCTCTGTTCATTGCACTTGTTATATGTGTACGTACATGTATGCTTGTGCGCGTGTTTTTCTTTGAATGTTACACATTTTTGCCCAGATATGGGAGGGTAGGACTGCAGCATGAACATTTGTAACCAGAAGAAAATAATCCTTAAAATATTTATGCTTACCTGCAAAATTCCTCCCAACCCTGCAATACATGTCAAGATCAGGCTCAGATAAAAAGTCATAGGATTACCCCAAAAGTGGGCTGTTTCATATGCCTTCCCCAGGCATGCCCTCTCATCCGGTGCAGGCACAGTGAAGAAGAAGGATGGAGAAGCACCAAGACACTCAGAGAAGGCCTTCTTCTCAAGCTTTGCTGTTTCCTAAGGGACAGGTGGAGAGTTTTGCTCAGAGCCTTCAGGAGCCAGGACGAGCTTGCTCTGTGCGAGGTAGGAAGGTTGCCAAACCAAAGAGTCTTACCCCAAGGAGGGCTGAGAGTCACGCCTGCCCAGGTGTTCCTGCTCTCTCACGAGACTGACTCCCACCCCACCTCAAATGAGACAGCCTGAAGTGGGGAGAGAGGGTGATCAGATAGATGCACATAGAGGTATCTCAGATATGCACCTGCCACTCAGACAGCGCCAGGGAGGCGCCGGGCAGAGAGGGAAATGTTTTCTTTTTCTGACATTTTTAGCGTGGATAACAGTTCAAGCAGAGCAGAGGAGCCCAGTGATAATGGCTTCTGTTGCCTTGAGCTAAGCTGCTTAATTGCATGGGACTGGCTCTTCTAATCAGGGAGAAAGGTGAAACACCACCTTGCTTGCCCCAGCTGACTTTCCTCAATGAACAAAGCCCATGAACAAAATGCCAGGTGGTCCCCAAGAGCAGAAATAGCTGAAGGGGGCAAAACTAGTCCCACTAATGTGATCCTGTGGGAAATAGCATGTGAGCACACATACACTAAAATGGCTTGCAAACCAGGCTGAACCTAAAGCCCAGTAAGCCATGGTCCTCCCAGCTCACTGGAAGCGCATTGCTCCTAACTTATCTCTTCTCCCCTTCATGCTTCAGGAGCTCTGGGGAGCAGCAACAGCTCCCAGATGGCTGCTGGTATCTAGAGGAAACTGCTGAAACAGCTGAAATCAGGATCCTTCTTCCACTTTGGTTTCTCACAGTTCAGGGCCATTTTCTTTCACCCTTGTCCTTCCCCTCCTTTGCAAGACCTTGGCTTTTTTCTGTTTAAAGAACTTGTAATCACCATAAGATATAGCGTTCTGCCAGGATGTATAACTAAAGATCTTGATGTACCCCAAATAATCGTGGGTAGCAGAATGGAATAGCTCAGCAAGAAGGGCCCCAGCCTGGACTGGTCTCATTTGTATGTCCTGTCACTCAAAGCCCTCAGCTGTGCAGCAAAACTGGATGATACGGGATAAAGCCTTGGTCAGTGTGAGATCAGGGCAGAGCTGAGGGGTCTCACTGACCTATGAGAATGTGTCCTGCAGCAGACAGAGAAGTGTAGGTAGCCTGGTTTAATTTTACTTTGGAGCCACACTCAAGGCAAGGCACATATCCAGGGGTAGGTTTTGTGCCAGTCCAGGCCCTTTGCCCCATGGCAAATTCTACATTAGTCAGGAACAGAGTACAGGGGGACTGGTGCCCTGTGTGGAGCCTGACCCATGGTCTTCTTCCTCCAGTGACTGATGCAGAATCAGATACCACAACCTCCCCAGGTTTAGTGACTGATGTTGTGGTCTCTCTGGACAAGGGGAACCCACCCGCAGGTACACAGGAATGTGTCACCACATCACTGCCATGGCTTCATGTTTATCACCAGCATCAGCGACACCTGCCTGCCCCTGGCTTCAGTGGTGTCAGCACCCACCGCAGACAGTGCCACCAACCTTTGTCTGCTCTCCAGGCCTGCTTTCTGGCCTATGCCCACCTTCCTGTTCTCCCACCCATGCCCCCAGCTAGGACAGGCTTTTCCTGATGAGCTGTCGTCCGTGCCAGGAGAGGAAAGCTCCCTCCTGCAGTCCAGGGATGAAGAGGAAGGGTGGGCTGGAGGGTCCCTGACCCTGGGACAGGTCCAGTATCATGCTGTGCCAGAGCCCTGCCATGGAGCTGACATGTATCCATAATGCAAACACCACGAGACCTGGCTTCACATCCCGATGCTATACCTCACCCAACACGTGGCCCTGGGCAAGCCTTTTGCCACTTCCTTCTTTCGGTCTCCTTCCCTATCTGCCTTGTCTAATTAGGTAAAAGCTTTCCTGGGTAGAGATCGCTTCTTCCTGGGCAGTGACTCGGGGTGGCTGGGAACACTCCTAGACACAACTCCCAGCAGAGCAGGACCGCTGGGTATGGTGGTGTCAGCAGGAGCCAGTGTCCCTGACGCAAGCTTTTATCTTGTCTCAAGTAGCAGGCAGCAAAATCTCAGACCTTCTGTGGTTTGGTTGGAAGGCCAAGGCTCCCCACTGGAGAACCAGTCCCCAGCCGAGGTCCCCTGACCTTAGCATGCCAGCAAAGCATGGCTTCTGCAGGACCTGCAGGAAGCATCTCCCCTCTGAAAAGCCTTGTGGGCTTGCTTCAGTCACAGAGCAGAGGCTTTCTCAAGCTTCGGTGCTGCTAAAGGAAAGGCTTTGCCTGTTGGCTAAAGACAGCATGAAGAATCCTGGAGCTCAGCCTATCTCACAGGTAGAGGGACACAGGCAGCAGGGAGAGAGTGACCCTGGCATGGTTATTACAAGGGCTTAGGGCTGCTCGCCTGCGTCACAGTGGAGATAACATCAGCCTACTGAAGACAGCCTCAGTGCAGCCTAACTGCTCCTGCAGAAGGAAAATGTGGGCCCAGGAGCCACTCAGGCTCTAACTAACTGCCGGGCAGTTGTACTGGCAGGGACTGTGTATCCCAGAGAAATGGCTGCTGAGGAGGGATGCCATGGGCAGCCAGCACGGAGATGAGCTCCATTTAAACACCATGAGCGATGGGTGGACAGAGCAGTACTCAGAGGAGGAGGCTCAATTCTCTGTCTCCTGCTTCTCCCTGAGGAGGGGGCTGCAGGTTGGGGTGCTGTGCCAAGGGTGGTGGTCACCATCTTGGAAGGAAAGGGTAAGGGCTCTGTTGAAGGACGAAGAAGAGTTGAGAGGAGGGGTGTGATGGCTGCTAGGAGTTTAAATGGGGGCACTGCAAGGAATCCACAAGCACACAACATCTCCCTCAGTCCTTCACTACCTGCCTTATTATTTCATTGCTGTTTGCCAGTAGATTTGAAGACATTAAGAAGAGAATGTCATGAGACTACCACAGCTACAGACATTGCTAACCTCAAATGCAATCACCACAGACAGCGCTGCAGAATGGCAAACCCGAGGTGTGCGGACATACCAAACCCAGACTCTCCTCACTAAAAATCCACATGCTCAGGATGTTTCCGACATGGCTTATAAATAACACATTGGCCTTAAATATTCGGAAACCCACAGTTATGTCCTCTAGGATTCAGGCCAAACAAAATAAGCAAACATTTTGAGATTATATAGGTCTCTGCATTTGAGAGCTGCGTACTAAAAGTAGTAGTGGCAACAAATGTAGTGTTCTTTGTCTGCCCAGCGGGCATACAAGGAGTAAAGTGTGTGTCAGGTAATGTCCCTGCTAAGACTGAAACTGAAGCTGGCTTCAGCATGTGGGTTCTGGGCATCTTCCCTTCCTCTCCTCCTGCCTGGAGTTCTTTCTCCCTGCTCTGAACAGCCCAGCAGCTTGGATTGTGACTTTGGCAAGAAGCACAACAGGACCCGTTTACACTGGCCAGGACCCATGTGCACTGACCAGGACCCACACTGTCACAGTCCTATCAACTGCAGGACAGGGAGCTGAGCTTTGTGGAGCTTGTGAGGCAGCGAGAGCTCAAGCAATCTTCCCAGCAAGGCCTTGAGCTCATTCACAAAACAGGAGCTCAGATCCCCACCAACCCACAGGCTCACCAAAAGGAACCTGGAAATGATCTGAGGGAGAGCACAGATGGAAATCATTGTCATCAAGGAGGCCAAGAGCTTTGCAGGAAGCACGAAAGGATCAGATGTTTCAATGGATAAAAAAGAACATTCAGAGCTACATGAGATAGAATTAAAACATAAAAGATGTAAGCCCTCTTGCTGCGGGATACAAGCCTGCCCTGACTGACAGGGATTAAGACAAAATGACACATCTGAGCAGGTTGTTTCGTAATTACCTGCATCCACATTTCCTGCCCCTCTTCCCCGCAGTGTCTGGCACTGGCCCCATCCCAGAAGCAGCTCTGAATTAGACCACTGGGAAACCGGCAGGAGTGGAAGGAGGCTCTGCAGAGGGGAGATGAAGAGATGAACTGAGAAACCTCAACTCTGGTAGAGCGCACTCATCCCCCTCTTGTTCTCCTCTTTATCCCCACCTTCTCCCCCTTCACTTCTGCCGAGGAAAGCTGTTGCCAAAGCTAAGCTCTGATGACAGATCAGCCTGCTTGGGATATTTAGGTAGGCAAGGGAAAAAACTAATTTTCAGACCATCTGTCCCGTCCAAAGAAGAGCAGCCTTTCCCAAACTGAACTGACTCCACACAATGGCAACAGTAAGCAACATGATATTAAACAATAATAAATCAAAGCTGACATCATTTGGAGCACGTCCGGACCCTCCCCTGTGGGGGTATCACTCTTCTGTGTGTCAACAGAGGGAAAAGAAAGCAGAAAGAAACCTAATCTAAATCCAACAAAAGACAGTGGGCCTAGGATGATGTCCCTGAGAGAGCAGACCCCTCCTAAAGACTTGCTGAGGGCATCAGGAGGCCAGGAGAGAGAGGTACAGGGACGAAGGATGGAACACGATGTCCTGTGTCCTTTGTGGCAGATAATTGTCTAGAACAGCAAAGCCACCTTCGTGGCAGAGAGCTGGGACCATCCATCCCTGCTACAGCACACAGCAGACCTTTCTGAGCTCCTGCCTTTCCAGTGAGATCCCTTCTTCCAAATTGCAGGAGATCTGTGCACCTTGGTCCCAGCCAGCAAGCCCAAGAGCTCATGCATGTATTGGAAGCAGCAGAGCAGAAGGGGAGCACTTGTGGTGGTTCCAGACTGGAAGATGTAGCGGGATTTTGACAGGGATGTGCCAAAACAGTAGTCCAAAATCATGAGGATGCGTGGGGAGACATCCCTGACCCGGCTTTAAACTAGCTCAGGACTAATGGGAGAGTATGAGCAGCAGGACACAGCTGAGCTTGGCCTAGGAGGCATCTGCAATGCAGACACCTCAGTGACACACTGCTACTGGTACCCACAATAACAGGCAGAAAACTAGGTTAAAACTCAGACCAAAACCCAAGCTCATTAGGGTGTGTTTACCAAGCTGCAATCCCACCTCTGGAATGCAATGCGAACATACCCAGGGGATGACTGGATTAAGCTATCTCCTTGTAAAATACTGATGGAGAAGTGACTTAAGGGAGTTTTACTCCAAGGCCAGCCCTAGAGCTGTACACTAAGCACCTCAAAGTAAACCTACGTTCAGTACATTACCTGGGAGCAGAAAAATTAAGCCATTTTCCCAGCAATGTACCAGCAAGGGACACCAGTGCTGGGGCTGTGTGCTGCAGACATGCGTATTGCTCATGTGTCCACTCCCCTAGGTTGGGGTATTTATACCGAGACACATAGAAATCTACTCTCTCTCTGGTTTGGTGCTTTCTCCAAGGTCATGTCCAAGAAACCAGCCAACAGGCAAGGGCAAGTTGGCAGATGGATGGTGTTCAGGGAGCACACTTTCAACCTAAAAGCTGAGGGCATCCCCCAGATGCAGCTCTACAACTGTGCCAGCCTAGTGCAGGGCTGTACACAGCACACAAGGACAGTACCATCCTTGGGCTACTTCAGCCAGACATCGCACACATCAGGGTGGATGGGTCTGAAGAAACCAGAGCTCAAGGCAGTGGTTGAAAAATGAGCTTTGGATCGCATCGCTGACAAGCCCATCAGGATGAAAGAGCTACTGGGAGCCTGGAGCTGGGCTGGCAGGGGCTATGGGGCAGGAGAGAGGGGCAAAAGCAGAAGGCCTAGGGCCAGGCTCAGAGGGAATCCAAAGGGATTAAAGTGATGGGGTAAGGAATTATCCCTGTTACCTTGTTCTCCCACCTCCCTTTCCCTGGCCATGTCCACTCCAATATAATGACTTGGTTCCAGTCATGCTGGAAGCTCTTCAGGCTGTGGACTAATCTTCCAGAAATGCTGCAGAGCTCCAAGAACCAGGGATTATGATGCACAGCGCTTCTCTCTCTGCTGCCATCACTGCAGACACCGGGATGTGCACATGGGAAATGAGATGATTTACAGCAAAGAGAAGAAATAAGGTGCTTTAGCTTCTTCCTGTCAGTTTTAATGGGCTTCTCGTAGGTGTGTCACTGCTAATGAGTGTTGAGTCACGCTGGCCAGAGCTTTCTCTTGCACAACCTGCTTCCCTAGGTTGCTCTGTATCTGCCCTCTGATAGTGCTATAGCTGATGACTGGGGCAAGCACCACTGCCAGCAGCAGGTTTTACGCAGTATTTGCTGAGCTTTACCAGAACGGGACCTGATTGTTTCCCTCCGGCAGCTGTTTGCTCGGCCAGCTCACTGTTTGCTCGCTGCCCTCCCTCCCACCCCTCCAGAGCCCTCCGCGCTGCCCTTGCCTCGCTCCCCGCAGCCGCCGGCGTCGGGGCCGCTTTGCTCCCCTCTGACATCACCCACACCCCACCCCGGCTCCCCAGCGCCCGCGGATCCACTCCCTGCCCCTGGGCTCAGGAGGAGGCACCCACCTCATCCCCTCCCACCCGAGCTGCGCTGCCAGGGCCAGCGCTGGAGGCTGCGAGTGGAGCCGGCTCCTTCCCGCCGGCTCGGACCCTCTCCCATGCAGAGCCCTTGCGACATGGCACCAGCCCCCTCCGGCCCTGCCTGGGCATAGGCTAACCCCAGCAGAGAACACACCAGTTCGAGGCAGGGATGGCACGCACCACAGCCAGGTGGAAGCAGATGGGAGCTTCAGTACAGCAAGACTGGCACCCATACACGCTTCTTTTTCCTTTCCCTTCCTATTTTTCTTCCAGGCTGCAGGAAGAGGAGTGACACATGGTGGGCAGAACATAGGGACCCTGCTCAGGGGCATTGATCCCACCAGGACTTCTTGATGACCTCTGTGCACAGAGGAGCTTGAAACCTCCTATACCAGGACTGTGAGTCCAAAGACACTGTGTAAGTAGGTAGCATTCCCTTGCTGATTCAGCTAAATGAACTGGCACATCATGGGGATAAAGCTGAAGTATTTTCACTGACTTACACAGGTCCAGAGATCCTGTTAGGTCTATGGCAGGCTATGAGAGCAGGTACAGGCTGTCTCTGAGTCTCAGTACCTTGGAATTGCAATGAGTGGAAGAGGAAATTCCTTGTGGGGAGGAACTTGGATCCTGCCTAATGCACCAAGGACAGCAGAGACCTTCCACCTTGTGACAGGCGCAAGATGCAGGGCTGCTCAATGCAGTGCCTTACGCCAGTTTAGACTCGTCTCTGAATCCGGCCTTCAGTCTCCGAGTGGCTCCACACGCCAGGGCACAGTGTCCCGGCATTAAAAATACCAAGGCTGACAGATAGTGTTTATTAATAGCACAAGTGGTGTTTATTGCTGAGCAACAGTCAGCAGCTCGGAGGTTACTGCTGTTACAAGCCAAGGTCTGAGAGCATTGCCACATTGCTTCGGTCTCAGGGGAGAGAGGCTCCATCTTTGGTGGCAGAAGCCATGGGGATGGGGGGCGAGGTGGGTGCCTGGCTGCCTCAGGGACCTGCTATGTGCAGAAGAGGGGGTTACAAGCAGAGCATCCCGATCTAAGGCACAGCACAGCCACCATGGACTGGGCGACCCCAGCTCCTCAGGGTGACCTGCATAGCACACAGCAAATCTTGCGCAAACAGGTGCAGAACAGACTTGCCAGCGCTGAGCATCCTCTTTCTTCCCATCACCTGCACTCTGCTATGCTAGAGGCACCATCCCCTGTCCATGAACAGTTCTGGTCTTCTGAGGCCTCACTCAGACCTACATGTGCTCCTTCCTCCCCTTGCACCCTTCTTTGCTCCTGCCCCTCACTCCAGGCACTTCCTTCCAGTCCTTGATCTTACCCTCCCTGCAGACTTTGTGTGATGATTTGCACTCTCTAGGTTTCTCTCCAGAGCCACGCTCCATAGCTCTTACCAGTTTATGGCTAAAACACTTCAGCACTAAAATGTTACATGCAACAAGCCACTTTGTTCTGTTTCTTTGAGTTTTTTTCCCTTTTCTCTGTCGTCACATGCAACATGTGGGGGTCTCCTAGAGAACATTAGCCCTGGCTTCTCTCTTTACATATTGCTTGAAGACATTTGCAGCTGGGAAGCTACTCCACCCTGCCCACACGGACTGCTGCGCACCTGGAAACATTACGTGACTGCTGAGCACTTGTCTTAATCAAAGTGTGACTTTCCTCTGGAGCCACGCAGAGGGCTTTGCACTGCACACGGAACTTTGGCTCGCCACTCGCTGCTTGCTATCGTGGAATCTCTGAGCGCTCGACAGAGGCTACCAATTAATTCTGCTTTAACACCTCGACGTGAATTCACTCACAGATCATCCCCCAGGGTAGCTCAGTCCTGTTATCACCACTGCACTGTTATCACTGCTGTACTGTTATCACCACTAACAGACTGGGAAACTGAGGCACAGATCAGAGCAGTGATTGTCACCGCTCTTCACAGGGCTGTGAAGACAAGCCAGGATTCCTGGCTCTGGCACAGCACCAAGGTACAGGATCTGCAGTACATACTGCACACAAACCTGTAACTTTTAGCTAGTTTCTTTTACACCGCGCCAAAGCACAGAGTTTGGCAAAAAATCTTCTGTAGAGGCTGAAGCTTTGGTTCCTGTTGTCTAAAACATGCTATCTAAAACTCCCTCCATTCTCTGTAGTAGCCTCCACGCAGGTTTCCTGTCATTACACTGCCTTCCATCTTTACCTGCACCATCTCACTCTCAGCAAGTTAGAGACCAGTTATCCAGCGCTAGCTAACACCTCAGACTCAAAGGATCCACTGCTGTTTTGTGCAGGGCACACTCTGCTTGACCGCTTGGACTGGGAGAGCAAAGGGCCTGGTTCAGAGGTACCCACAGCATAAGTTTTGCCACTAACATGTTCCATGTTCTTGTCATCTGAACAAGAAAATAAGGAGGCTCTGGATGCATCGGAGTCCCTGCACACGGGCAGGTCTGCGTGGAGATGCTGGGCAAGTGCACAGACCTCTTGTGCTCCCAGCACAGGAAAAGCGAGGTGCCTCCTCTCCTCCCTCATGGACCCCAGCTCGGGTCAGGGAGCCGGGCCATGGATGTTTAGTCTGGAACGGTCTGCAGGACACGATTTGGTGGTGTTCCCGTGATACTTCACACAATAAGCTTAGAGAGGACAATGCAGTTGCTTTGTGAGACATGGTGATGCTGTGTCTTGTGACACAGCCTATTAGCAGATTGGCTAATGCTGGGTGTGCAGCTGCTTTCTGTCACGGGAAAGGCTAAAAGCAGCCAGAATCCTGTGATACCTGTGAATCCTGCTTCTAATTACTCACAGCAAAACACACTGTGCTCCTGGTTTTCCCGTACCCGAGTACCTTGCACACACATGAAAAATAAGTCAACGACCAGAACAAAAATCTCTCTTTATGCCTTACTGGAATCCTGCTCAGTAAACAGGATTATGCTTGAAACAGGCTGTGATAGAGACATGAGGACAGACAGACAGATGCACACATGCCTTTTCATGAGAACAACTTGCTAAACAGCTGAATGGATTTTGCTACCTCTGGATAACCCCAGATGCCTCTACACCCCCTATTTAAAACATTCTTCCTTTTCACAGGGTCTATCTAGCAGCTTTCCATCACTGCCTAGTTTTGCTGGGGTGGGATGCGAAAAGGCCCTAGGAGGGAACATAGTTTTCCCCTTAATTTCACCAAAGCCAAGATTTCCCCTTCTTGCTGAGGGTGGCTTGGTGGTAACGAGGATCCCAGCAGTGAACTTCCTGTGAACTGATGGGAACAGCCCTTCTCCCGGAGCGAGGAGACAATATCTGAGGGCTGTGGATGGAAAAACGAGGTAGTTGGCTAATAAAGAAAATTAACCCAGTGGACATGATTTGCCTGCATTCTCCAAGCATGGAGTTCTTTTATAAGGCTCTCCGCAGAAAGCTCTTAAGGATAACAACTAATCCCTGGATAAGGGTCAAAGTTCTTGCTGGGCATTAAAACTTGGTGATGTGATTAAAGAAAAAGTGAAAACTGGCTGCTTGGAGCACAGCCTCCAGTGAGGAAGCCGCAGGGTGCCAGTGCTCTGCTTGCTGCTGAATGATCCCAGGACACCGAGAATGAGGAGCTAATGGGTTTGGCTCATGGTGCGTGGATGTCTGAAGAGGCTGAAGGGGATGTAAAGATACTTTGGAGTGAATCAGCTCACCAGCCCTCTGAATGGGCGCCTGGATAGGTGCAAGGTGACGTACCCCGGCACAGAACAGCCAAAACTTCATCTCCTCACCAACAGGTCTTGAAGGTCCCCTCTGGAAAAAAATATTTAGCAGTTGCTGTGGATACCTCTGATTGGATGCCCGGGTTTGCGTGAATCTACAACCCAGAAGGCAAAAAGGGCTCCAGCGACTTAAAACTGGGAGAGAAACTGTAAAAACTACCCGCAGCAAGACAAGGACGTATATACAGCCCTCTTCCAAGCTTAGCAAAGCTCTGAGATTGACACCACCAGAAGATGGGGTGTGGATTAAAAATAGGGTGGAACCTGGGTGTAAAGGGATATGGTGAGAGCCTGGAGAGCAGAGCCTGAAGGGTGCCCAAGGGGACACACTGGCAGGATTTAGGCCAAGAAGGAAAGTCATTGCTGGCAAATCACCTGCCCAGCTGAACCCCACAGTGCTGGAAAACTAATGCAACCTGGGGATGTTTGCCTTCTGAGAGTCTGGAGTACATTGGGGTCAAGCTGGATTTGATTTTTTCATGAGTATGAAGGATTGAAAGCTTTTTGGTTTGACTAGAAGCAGGTAGCCTTGCACACTGCATGGCTTTTGTGCTGGTGTAAGTAGCACAAGAGTCTCAGTGTTGGCCACTCTGGACTTTAGCCTCTTTGTCTGCATGGTCACCCCACACAGGGGTGGCTCCATGGAGTCAATAGCCATGGAGGCAACCATGCGACATCTCACGGCTACCTGTTCTGCAGCAGAGCTCTCTGTGGCACGGGGAGGCCGAAGAGCTGCTCCCTAGGTGCTGGTGAAGCTCTGGCACTCCTGCAAACCCTACGTGTGAGTTTTCCAACACTCAAATCCATTCACACCAGGGGAGATGTGTCCATGGGAGTGCAGGAGGTTTCATAACTGGGAGGGTTCCCTGTGCCTGGCGCTGCCAGATGATCTCAGGCCTGCCCCACCCCACTCTTGACACAGCCTATTCCTCCTCATCTTCCCACCTCACAGAGCATCCCTTTACTGACTGACCTCGTCACTTTTGCACTGTCACCTGCCTCCCCCAGTCACCAAAGTCCTTCCCGAGCTGGGCCCTGCTGTTTCCCTTTACACCCCTGTACCCCGCATGATCCTACCCCCTTTCCCAAAGAGCAGACGGAAGGAGGTGCTTGCTACCAGTACCAAAATACATGTTGAGATTCTGTCTCCAATGACGGAGCGGAGCAGGAAGACATGACTGCAGCTGGGACTGGATGGTGAGGGGACAACAACCTACCTGCTTTTGGGGAACGTACACAGAGATGCCTCACAATTTCAGCAAGATGGGAAGCCTTCTCCTAACTGGCAATAGAAAAATAAGCAGTGAATAGCACATGATCATTGGTCAAGAGTCCCAAAAGAGAAAGATGGAGAAATCAAGGCAGGGAGGGAAAGCAGAGCAACCAGCGTCCCAGTTCACTCACTCCCCACACCTTTGCTCAGCTCTATAGCCTAGGACCCACTGACTCCCATGGCAGCTGCGCTATGCAATTCCTATCTGATGGTGAGGGAGAAACACAGCTCACCAGGTGACAGAACACAGCTACGTGCAGGGCCACACCTGTGCCCACACTGCGGTGCATCACCACCACCACCAGTGCTGGGAGCCATAGAATTCTCCTGACTCAGCTGCACCAGGAGAAGGTTCCCCCGTTGAACTCCCCGAGCTGGCACCTCCAGCAGCAGCGATTGTGAATTCCAGCACAAACTGAGAAATCCTCCAAAGGGATTTAGAGAGATTAGAAATGAGCAGGAAACAAAATGAGATTTAACTTGGGAAAAGATAAGCTAATGTATCTGGGGCAAAGCTGCTTTGCGGTGGGAGGGAGGGGACACCCTGGAAAGCAGAACTGCCAGAAGAGGTTGAGAAAGAGTAACCATGGAGAGGTGCATCCAGGGAGAGACACAAGGGGTACGTTCAGAGCCAGGTGCCTGCTTCCTCTTCTACGGTTCTGGAGTGATCCACCTCAGTGTGTTCAGGAGTAGATACCTTTTGAGGGAAAGGGATTGTTACTGTTACATATGAAAGGTGTTGAGAGGTGAGGAACAGGAATGATCAAGGGCAGAGCTCAATGAGCTAATGCCAGGGGCTCTGAAGGGCCATTTTATGTCACTGACCAAGAAATGTCTGCAAAGGAAACATGCTGAGACTCCACAAGCATCCGAGAGGTCTATGTCAGAGAGGAAGGGAACACATCTATTGACACATCTGCAAACTTAGGGCAGCAGGGTGAAATTAAGGCAGAGGAAACAGAGGCTTAAAGAACACAACAGAGCCCAGGCAGTGCAGCAGCTCAGGCTGTGGGGGATGACCTGCACAAAGACAGGCATGTTCAGAACAGCAGCTCATTTGGAACCGGTTGACAAGACCACCTAAACCCAGAAGTTGCTCCTCTTGGGATGTCTCTGAGTTCGTGACTGGTCCCAGCAATTCAGCAGGGGTGTGGATCACACTCAGTCCCACAAAGTGACTCACGAATGTCACAGCCTCTTGCACTTACATCCAGCCACCCCAGTGGTACTGGTGCAGAGGGCAGTGCCACTCCCTGACTCATCGGCACCTCCTCCAGCAACCCAGCCAGTTCTCCGAGGTGCTGTGTATCGACGAGGTCCGCGCTGTACGTTCACAATACAGTGCCCTGGCAAGCCAATACTGCAAGCAAGAAATTGGCCCTGAGCCTCAAGACCAGCCTCAGATTAGTCACCGAGTAACTCAGGATGATCCTATGACTCACAATTTATGGTGCCTGTGGAGACTGGAAGCAATCAGATCCAGTGCTGTTGACCCCCCATTCGCCACACTTCCGGAGGTGAGATAAATCAAAAAAAGTAGGAGTTGGCTTCTTATTCCCCAGGAGCAACAACAACCTTAGGAGAAACGTGACCTGCTCAGGAGGCTCCAGGCTGCTCCTCCCAGACGTGAGGTCCTTGCAATGCAAAAAACCAGAAGGCTCTGAAAAGCTGGTACCTGCACTGGCCTCCAAGCAGCCAGATAAGGGGCTTCTTGGAAAGGAATAAGCTCATCATAAAGCTCTGTTGGGGCTTTTGCTTCTGCACTCATGGAGTCAGAGCCAAGCACAGGCAGGAAGGGCAGGGAGGGGTGCTGGCAGGAGTTTGACGACACAAATACATACTCCCTGGGTATCGATATGTTTGTGGCACAGTGCTTGCAGGTTCTCTGTAGGTTAGAAGGACAGGTAGGAGAGGCAGTGAGATGGCAGCTTGGATGCCTTTCCAAAGTGTACACCATGTCTCAGGTAAGAGTTATGGGCAAGATGAAGGTGAAGGACTCTGGTCAGCTCAGGCAGTTCATGCTTCTGGCCTTAAAAACTCTGAAGAGGTGATGGAACTAAGTTATTTGCTTAAGGTGATCATCGAACTCATCTTGTGCCACGTCTCTCGAGTTCCCTGTAAGGCTTGCAGCTAAGGGATTAGGCCTCTCTCCCTTTTGCTTGGATAATGCTCCCAGGGCTGCATACCAAAGGGCTTGTGTGAGACACATTCTTCCTTCACCACAGACACATTCAACCAAGATTCATTATCATCTAGAGCCAAAGCTTCTCACCTGCAAGGCACCACACATGACGCAAGCAAGCATCCCATCATGCATCCCAGGTAATTTTGGCATTACACAGGCCTCCCTGGAGAGTGCTCCACAGGAATTGCCACTCATCAGCAGTCCCATCAGGGTGCTCAGCAGAGCCAGGTGCCTTTCCCAGCCCAGCTCCTACCACACAACACGCTCCAAGCAAGAGCACACAACAGCTCCCAGAATAGCTGGCAAAGGAGGTGTCAAAGTAACCTTCCCAGCTAAACCCTTGCCATGCTGGCATCAGGCTTGCAGCACACCTTCCCCCTGCTGTATGCACCAGGCTTGGCCAAGAGACAGATAGGCAGCAGAGGTACCTGGTGCTAAAGGCACATAGAAGCCTGGGGCAGCAGGCTGCAGCAGACAGCCCCAATGCCTAAGGAGATGCTTGGACACTCTCAGGTTAGGGAGAGACTGGGCTTTCTTTTTGACCCCCAAAGAAGTGTCTGGGGCATCTGAAAGAATGATGTAAAAATGAAGAGCAGGAACCAGCAAGATTAGCCCCATATCACAATGTACAGATACAGCCCAGAAGTGCAGGTATTTCCTAACATGTGTCTCAGCTCTGAACCCAACCTGGATGTACGGAGGCAGCTCAGGCAGCAAACTGAAAAAGTCCTTATGGGAAGGAGGCTTTTTTGGCCTTGGGAGGCCAGCCTTAGGCACATGCCCAACAATCCCATTTGCCTATATAAGCCTGCAATTCCCTCACACAGACAGTGAGCTCTGGGAGAGACTTCAGATCCCCTTTCCTGATGCAGGCATCCAGCAAACAACTGCCATTTGAGGGGGAACTTGACCCTTGTCCCTGTGATGCAAAGCCCCCAGGGTCCTCACAGCTCCCCAACCAAAGGAAAAGCCTTCCCCAAATCTGTGGTCAGGCACTCTTTGCATTCCTTTCACTCCCTTCTTTGCTGCTGGTGCAGGGGATATCACCTCCCAGCTCTTATCCACAACTTGCCACCTCCTATGAGATAAGGGGTACTTGGCTGGAGGTCCAGGCACAAGCGCCTGGTCCCTCTGGGTTGGCCAGCAGCTCAGCCGCCCCATTGTTCTGTAGGGTGTCAGGTGCTGTGGGGCACAGTGGGAGCCAGCAGCTGCCTGTGGGGTGGCACAGTGCCACTGGGGATGCCACTGGGCCCATGCTGGCCCAGCCCCGAATGGGGAGCTGGGACCAAGCACAGTGCTTGCACAGACCTGGACTGCAGATCTTGTGCTGGATGACAGGAATTAGCCTTAAATTTCAGGCGTCCCAAGCACAGAGAGGGTGTCCGCACGCTGACCGCATGGCCTGGGATAAAAATACCCATCTCTCATTACCAAAAATCCTGCAGGCGAATGGTGGGGGACATGTGAGACAGATTTCCTTTGGGCTCCCAAAGTCCTTCGTGGGGACTGAGCTGAAGGACAGAAGCTTTACGGGCATTCTAACATAGGCACTGCAGGCAGTGATGGACCTGAAGCAAGGGCTGGCTGACTTACAATCAGCAGCATAAGACATCAGCAACAAGGGGTTAAACCAGCTAGCAGGTGCCAAACGGGAAAGACAGAAGTAGTTTCCAACCAAAAGGACCATTTTTTCCACTGCCATTGGGGTTTTCTGGGTTTTCAGCCCAGGGCACCCTTTTCTGCCTTTCACGGTGCCTCCACAATTTGAATCCCACAGAATAGGTGAAGCAGGCTCGAGGAAAACACCAGCCGGCTGCCTGTAGATAACATTTTGATCAGCCAGCCCCCAAAACACAGATGTGACTGGAAGCCTTTGAAGCAAAGTTCTTGTGCGCAGGGTGAAGGGCTGTGTGCCGAGATCAGAGCGCCTGCCTGCAAACCTGGCCTCACTCCATGTGTCCTTGCCTCACCTCAGCACGGGGCTCAGGTGAGCCAGGTCCCAGGCAGGCTGAGGGGCAGCCACACTCTTATGTTCCGACCCCTGCAGGAGCAGTGTCCTCACTCAGGCACAGCCTTTCCAGCCAGGCTGAGCTCCCCTCCAACATGGAGCTGCGCATGGCGCCCCTCACAAGAGGTGACAGCCCAGCCGCATCCACCCTGGAGGATAAAGGAGAGGAGCTGGACTGCTTCCAGGGCCCCAGGTACCTCATTCAGAGCTGGCTTGGGCAGGTTCTTGCTGCAGTGGTTTGAGGCAGCTGCCCCAGCTCCGCTGCAGCCACACAGAAGAGAATTTTCTGAGCAGGCAGAGCTGTCCCAGCTGAAACATGCCATCCACCCAGGCACGGCCACTGTCTCAGAGTAGGTGGCTATCATGTCAGCCTGGCTCTGAAGATGTCCAGCTTCTGAGCTCTCAGAGGTATGAAAAGAGCGGGATGCAGCATACTCTTATCCTCCAGGTGACAGGAGCGACCAGCCCAGCTCACCATCCATGGCAAGGTTTGACGTGCTGCCACTGACAATTCAGACCTACTGTACCATCCATTCAGAGTATAACTGGGTTCGCTCATGCTGAGATTTCACATTCAGCTCAGCCGGAGAGGGCAACCTGCTGGTTTCAACCTTTTCAGTTTGATGACTTGTAAACATTTCCCAGGCGACAGAAACAATGCAGGTTTATTGAGGTCAGGCTCACTATCACCTTGCACAGCCATTATGAAACAGCCCATAGATCCTTGCAAACCAAATGCCGGTGATGAACACGCAAAGGAAGCAACTTTCTGGGTTCCTCACGCAGCAGCATAGAGAGACAGCCCCTGCTCACCTTCTCACCTCTCTATTGCACTCGAGATGTTACTGAACAAGATGAACCAGAGCATCCTTGAGTACTTGTGATCTTTCCTCCATTCTGCCCTTTGCAAAGGCTGTGACTGCAGATCCACCTGTTGAGCTACCAAAGTCCACCCCAAATAAAAGCCAGATCCTTCACCTTCATGACTGAGGCAGCCATGAACTCAGTGGTCCGCACTAACCCAGGTGAGTCGCCTCCCAGACATCCAGAACATCCTGTATGCTCCTTTCCAGTGTGGCCAGATGACGGACATGATACACTCACCTCTACGGCTGATTAAGGAAACGACACCGCTTCCAAAGAGCTTTTCCTCCCAAAGACCCCAAAGCATTTCACAAGAGATGCGATGGTATCAAAATCCTTCAGGAAATGATGAGCACATTCAGAGCTGGACAGTTCTTTGTTCAGCAATGTCCAGGATGGTGAGGTCTTGCTGAGCCATCGCTGACAGCGGGTTACACACACTGCTCCAACAGCAAACACCAAGTCCATCACCAGTGACAGGCAGGCTCAGAGCATTGCTTTCATCTTGGATTGTAAGATCCACCAGGAACGCATCTATTTGTGTTTGTACAGTGCCCAGCACACAAGGCTTGGCTCCCAAGACAGAGGCAGGCCTGGGACCATCACCATGCTCCTTGGCATCAGACAGGGAAGGAACCCAGAAGTCCTGCCCCTCACTGCTGCCCGTAAGACCACCCTCTTCTCACAGAGCAGGGAACTCGGGCCAAGCTCCACACATGTATTTTGGTGCCTACCTCCCATTCATCTCACCAGGCTTAAAGTACCTAGATGCTTTTGGAGGCTCTGGGCCCAAATCCAAGAGTCCGGCTGGCAGGTTGCTGGTGCCCTGTATCCGCCAGAGGCAATGCTGGAGGCACTGCTACACAATGGAAGACAACCAAGATGCAAGGCAGAAGGAGAAGGCAAAGGAAATCAAGGTCAGAATTAAATTCTTTAATACAAAAAAAAGTTTGTTTGTCGTCGTCGTCGCTGTTTAAGATATATCTGTAATTTCTTTGTTTAAAAATAAATATGTACTAAGGAATATCTTGAAAAAATTCACTAGACACAATATGTAGTGTTAATATCTTTTTTCCCCGCAATTATTACAGATAAACAGTAGCACCAATAAATAAAATGATAACAAATATTAAAATTAAAAAGGAGAGAGATTCAAGATGTAGAATTTTCTATTTTTCCTGTTTCTTCTTTTTACATATATAAAAAAATCGTAGCGTCTATTTAATCCGAATCACACATATACATAAACATATATATATATACAAACACATAGCCAAATATATATATAGTATGTAGATGTATATCTAACTCTTGTCTCAATAGGAATGTGTAGGGGTAGGTGTTAGAGAAATTAATTAAATAACTGCCCATAACATGCTACTGACTCTGCCAACAATTGGGGAGAGATGGGACGGGACAAGGGGAAGGTTAAATTTATACACAACCAGTACAAATAAAAAAAAAAAAAAAAAAAGGAGGTACGGCTTATAAATAGTTGAAATTAAATATTAACAAAGAATACTGAAAAATCCCTACTCTCTCATTAAATTATCTGTTTAATTTCTAATTTAAAAAGGGATATTAAATAAGTATATAAAACACTTTCTCTTCCCTCCCCCCGATCGGAAGCCTCTGTCTTGCGCACGATGCAGCATGAGTATTACACATTGCAGATGCAAGCACCCACCCGCGTGTTTTGCCTCCTCCTGACAGCCACCAGTCGGATGGGGAGTTCCTAGTGGTTAGTAGTCACTTGTGAGTCTGTTTTTAGACTGTCTTGTCTTTTTGGAAGCTTTCCGTGTTGTACATTATCAGGCGTTGAAAATTCAATTGCAGATGATGTTTGGCAGCATTCTGACACAGACCGAGTACCTTTTTGATTATTATTATTAATAATAATAATTTTAATCACAGAACTAGATTATATATATCCACATAGATGTACAAACACGCTTTCAGGGGGGTGTGTGTGTGCGCGCGTGTGTACGGTGGGTTTCACATACACCACAGTGTATATTGCAGATACACACATAGCCAAGATTCTTGGACACGGCTTAGGGATTCCGGCTGCCTTCACATTTGATTCCCCAGCCCAAGACATGGAAAAGGGGCCTGATATTTACAGTATGTCATAAAAAAAGAAAAAAATCTTCACGTTCTTCAGGGTCATTCACACCGGGCACATAAACTGAAGGCAACAAAAAATGTATTCTATTCCCCCCTTCAATCTTGGCATACATATATATTATTTTTTTTTATATATATATATGTATAAAAATAAATATATATATATAAAAAAGACAGAAAAACACAAGCATACATACACACAGACACAAATGCACACATTCACATACACACACACCCCCCTACTGTGTATATACTTTTGATTAATATCCCTTTCCAGAAATGTTCCGTAAGCATCTTGGATGCTCTTGAGTGGCAGCTCTGTGCATGAAGAAAGCAGACAGTGCTGAATAACTGTGTGGCTATGCACCGGTCCCCATTCTTGCTTCAGCACACTGTAGGCCTTGTGTCCTTTTGCAGCCACCAAGGGCGGGAAATCTAGATTCCTGTGATACTTCCTTGAATGGAAAGTTAGTGTGCATCAGCTGCCCACCATCCTTAAGAGAAGCCAGCACGTTTCTCTGGCAAAGTTTCTACAGCGAATAAAGTCAACGCAAAATGTACACTGACATCCCATGTCCCAGCAAGGCAGGCAGGTTATGAGACGAGTAAGGGCGAAGGTTGGGGGAAGAGAGGGGAGGAGGAATCCTTGATCACGGAGATGGCCATTTCCTTGGCCTTTGACCCATCGCACCCTAGGATGCCGCTCTTTGGAACTCCCTGCCCATCCTCTCCATCACCTCTCCTCCCTGTCCCAGGCAAGGAGAAGGTGGTTTGTGGTACAGCACACTCTACAGAGAAACAGCGGAGGCCGCACAAGTCAGTTAGAGTTAAGAAGTTTACACCCAGCGCTTCTACTCAAGTCCAGTCTTAGCTTGTTTCTTATGCCCCAAGTAGCCCGCTTGTGTCCACAGCAGTCGAGTATTATCCAGTGAAGACACCAATAACATTAGCAATGTTAAAAAAAATAATCAGTATATATATATATTTTATATATATGTGTGTGTGTGTGGTTAAGATATACATATATGTATATATAGATGTGGTTAAAATATATATACATATATATATATGTATATGTATGTATACACACATATATATATATGCATGGCAAAACCCATCAAATACACCCCTATAGTCTTCCTGGCTCTGTTATTTAGCAGCATGAAAAGAAAATAAAATAAAACAGTTCAAAACCCAAAGGTGAATTCTGTGCGGCGGGTGCCTTGGGGAATGTTCCTTCCGGAGTCCATCGTCCGTACTGAAAGTGCTGTGCTCTACCGATCCTTCATTTTTAGGGTTCATTTGGATTAGTGTTTTGTTTTTTTTTCTGTCCAGGCGAGAAATCAGGCTCCAGAAACAGGGCTGTTCCCCCTTCTTTTCCGCTGCTCACCGTCTCGGTTTTTCACATCTGTTAGAGAGGAGAGGGAAGGCAAAAATAAAAGGAGGGTTTAGTGTTTGTGACGGGGGTGCAGGTAGGACAGGGAAGGGAAGGAAAGGAGGTGGCTAATGTGTTTAAGCACATGGTGTTAAGACATGGCATGACGTCACTGGTGGGGTGAAGTGCTGTGCAGATGAGGCAAAACACCTGAGAACCTCGACCCATGAAGAGGTCGATGAGTTCTATTCCCCCAGGTTCACTTAGGGCAGAAAGGGGGTACTGGTACTGGTACAGGGGGAAATTTAGGAGCAGAATCAGAGGCTTCCTCACAGATGAGCCAAGTGACTTTTTTGCACTCTCACACCATGCACACATAGATACACACAAACACACAGAAAAACAAGGCTAAGCAATGCATGCGGAAAGACGCATTCCCTCAGCTCCCCACCTAGCCTCTTGTTTAGGTTGGAAGCAGTGCAGACAACAAGGCCTCATGCAGGAAAGAAGGTAAAAAGAAAGTGCCTCTCATTTGACTAGCTGCCATGAGCAGGAGTTAGCACCAGAGAAAGCAGCAACAGCCTGAAGAAGCAGCAGGAGAAACGAGAATTCACCCTCCCAGGTAGGGTCCAATTCTAATTCTACAAGAAAGAGCACGAGCAACTTCAGCTTAACTAGCTTTTTATCTGGAAACAGATAAGCTACACACTCCTATGACTGCTTCCTATCTTTCTGGCCAACACAGCAGCTCTGGAAACCTCCCTTAATGCCAATTATCCCACCAAAGACAGCAACCAATAAGAGAAACTAGTAAACTCCTTCTGCCATCGTGACTTCTTTGGGGCATTGTTTTTAATTTGTATTTGTTACTATTTCTCACCTTTCAAATTCTGGAGGGTAATTTCCAGCTAATCTGGAGGTTGGGGAAAGTAGAGAGGGAAAATTAGGTCGTCTCACACGCCAGGGGTTGCTGGGAGAAGGTTAACTCCAGAAGCTACTCTATTCTGGCTTCTACATCAATGGCTTTCCCACTGAAATAATAGCATCCCAGAAAATTCCTCTGTATACAGAGCAGTTTCCACCACAGTGGCAGTGCCAATGCCACTCTGGTTTGGGCACAAAGCATTTTCACACCAAAAAGAAATACATGCTACTTGCATCAGCCTCATTCACCTAGCCAATTCCAGGCAGGGAAACGGAGGCAAACGGATGCCTCCTCTTTCAGGGTGTAGCCACAGAGGACCCCGTATCTCTCTCCCTTAGTCTGTCCCATCCAGCCACTGCAACACTCTCTTACCAGGAGGAATCTCCTAGATCTCTGAGAGAGGGACCTGAGTTCAGGGTCACAGCCAAGGGCTCATTAGCAACCCCATTTCCATGTCTCTCTCTGGTTAGGTAGAATGATCCCACACCAGAGATGCACTCACAGCTGCTGTGAGTCAAGAGACCCCCGAGTTCACCAAAGCACTCAGTTGAGAACAAGGAATCCATTTCTGCACGTGTCTATGCCACAGATGGTGTGTGACAGGTAGCACTCAGATGACACATGCACAGCATGGATCTCTGAACAAACACTAACCACACAGTGTCTTCGTGTCTCCCATTCAAACTGCAGACTTCTGCCTGCCTTCACCCAGAGACAGACTTAATCCTGCCACATTTCGCTTAATGCTGAGTGCAGCCGCCCAAAACACAACTCTGGCCAAGACATGGAGAGGGAACTCTGAGTACAGTGCAAGGGGCCAGGGTACTCTCCCTGACTTTTAGAAGAACGAAGAGACAAAGGAGAATGTGGGGAAAGCCTTGATGGAGGATCCTGGCCTGGCTTTCCTCCTTCCGCATACAGCACTACCTACAAGCCACGTAAAAAGGGCTTGGAAGGCAGGGGTGGTCAAATCCTAGTCAGCTAAAGGTATTTCTCTATCCAACAGTATGCTGAGAGTTTGCATACAGGTAATGTACAGAGGGCTACAGACCCTCCTCATGGCTACCTCAGCAAGACAAACTCTGTTCTACAGGAAAGGAAACCTTAGATACAAATGCCCTGTCTCCAGGAGCCATCCCCATCCAAGTCCTGACAGCACATCTGAAATGCACAGCTGCCCTCTGACACAGGGAAACTCTGTCCTCATCTCAGTTAGCCCTTCTGCCCTCTGGCCCACGTAGGACAGCGAAAAGAAGTAGTCACACAGCACTGGTGCCAGAAGTCAGCAGGAAGCAAGCTCCCCCCTCTTTCTCTTTCTCTGTCTTTCTCTTTGTGTATTTCATCCTTCAGGACACAAACCTGCAAGTGCGCTCGTTTAACTCAAGCTGCCTCGACTTGCAACGTGAGTCTGTGAATTTGCAGGAACATTTACAGGTCTGGGGATCTTGTACAAACAAGTGCTTTCTCCTCTCTGAGCAAGGCTCACAGTGACTGCAAAAAGGCAAAAGGAAAGATGTCTAAGCTACAGCGCTTCAGCAGAAAGAAAATACACATGCAACACCCTAAACATCAAAGCAATCCCTCTGCCCCCTCCCACAGCCCCCATGCCGCCCACTGGAGCGTCGTGGGCTGATGGATTTTCCAGCAGCACCGCGGCAGCCCCCGGACAGCACCCCCTTGCATTAGCGTAAAGAGAAAGAAAAAAGGCTCTCTGCACAGTATTCACAAATGCTGCATTGGATCCATTGGCACAGGCCAGAGGGACGAAGAAGGGGAAAGCAAGGATGGGAAGGTGAGAGGTCCCAGCCAGCTACTGACATATCAATGAAAGGTGTTCTCTGAAGTGGGCTATTCGAGTAGAAAGAGGCCAGCGGCTAAACGAGTTAAATACACAGGGTCTCTCCTCCCCTGAAAAGCAGCTGGGCTGCAGCATCAGATGATTACTCCTGCAGCCAGCACTGCCCTCCTTTCTGACAGCCCCATCCCAACCTTGCCACCATAGGACACAGGAGTGTCCCGTGAAGGGGTCGTAAATTTACAATGCAGAATTCTGTGAAACATCGTGAGAGAGGCAGAGCGAAATGGACAGAGAAAGACAGGGAGATAGAAGCCACCAAACGCAGCAGAGAGAGGAAAGGAGAGAGCGAGCCCGCCCGGTTCCCCAGCACCCCCTCTCCAGCTTCCCGCCGTCCCACCTCTCCTCTCCGCCTGTGACTCCACCAGACACGCACGCACACACACACACACACGCACACATGCACGGCAGACACCAGCCTCCCTGTTGCCAGTCACCGTAGCAGTGAGGGCACAAGATGAGTCGGGGGAAGCGGACGAGAGAGTTGCAACCAGAACGTGTTGAAAAGAGGGTGCAGAGCGCTCGCCCACCCGTCCGCACTCCTGTGCCTTGGGAGAATTGTCACCACTGAAGATTAGAAAGCCAAGCAAGCTAAAGCCACCTTCCCTGAGATGCCCTCAGTGCCAGAGCGGTGCCATCACCAGTGCTGCCCCTGCAGGATCTGCAGCCCACCAGTGACTGGGAGGGGAGGGTGAGATTTGCATGAGCAGCAAGCAGGCAGATTGCTTTGGGGAAAGGGAGGGAAGAAAGTCTACAAGCAGAGGACACAAACGTACAAGCTGAGTGGTTTGTACCGGCCTTTCTTGCGCTTTCTCTTTTGACCCTTCCCCTTTCCTCGCTTTGATTTTCTGGAAGAAAAACAAAACAAAAAAACAGAGAAAGAGAGAGAGAAGGAAAGAAAGGGAGAGAGAGAGAAAACAGAAGAAAACGCAAGGAAGAGGAGGAAAAAAAATACAGCCATGTGCCTTGCTGGGAGGGGGAAGCACATGGGGCAGGACTGGATGGCAGATCCCAAGGCCGAAGCATAGATCTCCACCTCGCACACACATTCACCGGCCCTTCTGCGCTCCTGCCAGCACCGCAACCAGCCTGCCCATGGCCAAGCCAGTGCCAGGGGACTCAGAGACCACCGCCAGCAGGGCTTCTTCCAGCAGAGGCAGATCTGCTGCCCCTCCAGATCAGAGGGGCAGTGGGGAAGGGACAGGGCGTGAGGGGAAGGAACAGAAAGCTTTGTGAAAGCATCACGCAACCGCAGGGAGTGCAGACAACCGTTCCAAGCGACAAGCATGGGCGCACACTGACTGACAAGAGGCAACCTGAGGGGAGAGGCTCTCCCCAGGGAAAAGGAAACTGCTCTGACCTGATGCACTGCCCAGCACCAGGCCTAGGAGGGGGCAGCCAAGCTCCAACAGCTCTGCTGCCAGGGTGGTGGTGATCCTGCCTTGGGATGGAAGCAAAGGGGGTCTCGCCTCAGCACCCTGCAGACAAGGGGTGAGACCTGGTCTACACAGCAGCACTGTGTGGGAGAGTTATCTAGCCTGAAGGCTCTGCTTACCCATCCCACCTCCTGTGTGTGGTTTGCAGGGCTCCAGGAGACCTCACCGGATGTCTGCTAACCTCCCCCCGGCAGCCTCTATCCTGAACACTGGAGGGGAAAAAGGGAGGCCTGACCTAGTTATGACACCCAGGAGATAACCAGCAAGCAGCTTTCAGATTTTCCCTCCTTTCCCTCCTTCCCATTGCCTTCCACGTGGATCTGCCAGACAGATGAGCAGTCGGAGCCAAGGCACTGACTCCATTCTGAAAAATCCACCAGTAGCTCCTGACTCTTGGGCAGGCCTAGACACTAACAATGGACCTTTACAGGCCAGTGAGAGCGCAGGGAGAGAGGGAGGCTGGAGCCTGCGCTACTCCTGAGCCACATTAGCACAGGACCAAAGGAGAGACATGCAAGGAGAAGGCCCTAGGCAAAGCACCAGGGCTTGTCAGGCAAGTGAGCCCCAGCATTGCAGTAGTTCAGCAAAGGCTCCCTCATTCCCTGGCACAGCCCACCTCAGGAGGGAGCTGTGATGGGGACATGGGGAACAGAAGGGAAAGCACCACAGGTGTTTCTTAAGCCCTGTTCAAGTCGTCTCACTGGAATGAGTGTCAGAGCATCAGCTTGCTCCCAGCCTCTGCCCTACATGTCAGGAGTCACAAGGAGGCGGTGAGGGGAGGAAAATCGACCTGAAGGGAGGAGAGGGGCACCAATATAACAGGACTTTCAATCCAGCACAAATCAAAGCACACCAGTCTCTCCCATTCCTTCCCTTCCTTCCCCAGGGAGTGCAGAACCAGCAAAGAGCAGACAAGGTGCTGTTAGAAGAGGAAAGGGAATGCAACGCAATCCAGGCTGGCTGCTTCACCCACACCCATCCTCACCAGAGTTCACACAGACCCAACTCTCGCACACCTTCAAACCACAGAGCCACGCAGACCGACCACCCCCGGCATGGCCCTGCTCAGAGAGGAGTGCCAGCTGCACACAGCCCAGTGCAGCCACGAGCAGATTTCCAAGGGGAGGAGGAGAGGCTGGAAGGCAGCTAGAAATACACAACCCCCAGGAGAGGGGTGAAAGAAGTTCTCTCACTCTCCCGCTTGCTCTCTGCTCAGCCTCATCTCCCAGTATTCATTCACTTCCTCTCCCAACTCCATACTTCTGACCAGCAGAGCTGCTACCCCAGCCATGCAAAGTCCAGCTGACTCTCACCAGAGAGGTCACTTTCTTTTCAGTATTATTCCACATTTTGTGATCATCCCTGCAGCTACTGCAGGACAAGAGCTTATTTCTCTACTTTCCACATCGTTTTTACTTTCGGGAGGAAGGAAAAGGAAGGTTGTGCCTTAACCTCCTTCAGGTCACAAGAGCAAATCCATCAGACTGAAAAAACTCTCATGAAAGCCTCCACCAAGACCCAGACAGGACATCCACCTCCCTTTACACCCTCCCTGGCCCCCACCCAACCAAAACCAGAGCCACATCCTGCATGGCATCTGTCCTGCCTCCACCAGACCTCTATTGTCACCTCTCCGTGTAGCCAGCAGAGTTCCTACCCAAGCTGCTGTGAAAGAAGCCAGCAAGTACTCACTCAAGCAGCAAGAAAAAAAATTAATCATAAAGAAAGGCAGCGATTTGCAGTAACCAGAAACACCCCAGGAAGAGGGAAGGGAGATTAGGGGCTGCACCTTGAATCCATTCTGGTAGGACACACAAGACAGGACCTCCCTGACTCAGGATAAAGCATCAGGAATGACTGCCATGACCATGGGTCATGCAGGCTCCAAGACTGGGGTATGAAGGAATAACCATCAGATCTGGGTTTCTGTGCCCACCTGGAATGGATTCAGAGTGTCGCTCCATGCACTACCATATGCCATTTCCAAAAACACCTTCTCCAAGTAAATACCTCCAACCAAAGAAAAGGGCAAGGGGCAGTGGGGAGAGGAAACACCAACCAACCACCAAAAGAGAAAGGAGGAAAGGCTTGTCACTTACTTTTCTTGTTTGTTTTTGACATCTTTCTTTGGTCTGTGGGGGAAGAGAGAACAAAGGCCTCATTAGAAGGGAGCTTACCACATACGCTTCCAGTATTATCCCCAGGTCCCACCAGGTCCAAGGAAGGACATGTACAGCTGGCATTGCAGGATGCCCATGGCAGGTTTTGCGGTCCTTCTCAAAGTGTTTACTCTCCTTTTGAATCCCACTGGCAGTCAGTGCCAAAAGACCCCAGGTTGCAGGCTAGTACTGTCCACCTGTGATATCTGGAGATGGAGGAGCTGCACCAGCAAATTACTTCTTTTCCCAGGCTCAGCCATCCCTCTGCAAACCAGCTGAGGAGACTGCAGAAGCCTCTGGAGAACAGTCCCAACCCAACAGCAGAAAAAGGAAAGGCTCAGAATAAGTTTATTGCAAGAGGAACCAGTGCTGCTCCATTCTCACCTGCAGTCACATTTACTGTGCTGTAAGAAGCTCATGTGCGCTATGTGCTGACTCTGATGGGGTTTAATTCTCATGATCTGGAATGAAAGAAACAGAGAGGGTCACTGCCCATTCACTATTTATATTCACAGCTCCAAATCAGCCTGCTGCACAGCAAAGCATTTGCACCCCAGGTGTTCCTGGGAAGAGCATGGCAGAGTTTGAGCTGGCTTTGAAGCCCCATTCTCCCAGTCAGGAAGGTCTTTGATCACAAGCAAGCAACACCACCAGACTCATGCCAAAGCTCTGTTTGCTCATGTATTCAAGGTGCCAGCACTGGTGGACTGCCTTGGAGAAAGCCATGGGAGAGGGCGTAACACCATAGCAAGGTTCTCACTGAGCTGTCCCTGGTTGATGCTAGAGGGATGGTAAAGGAATATCCAGCCTGCTCTCACGTAGAAGCATGCTTTGGCTTAACACAAGGACCCAAGCAAAAATTCCGTATCTGACTCCTTTTACCTACGCCACCAGATGATATATCACTTTGTCAGTGACTTAACACACAATGTAAATCTGGTCATATGTGGTTAAAGCAGCCCTGCAGGGCCAGATGTTGTCCATCACCCAAGTCCCAGATTCCTCCAGGGTAACTGTATTAGAAGCGATGCATGTATTGTCACAGTTTCTCAACCCAGAACCTGACTGAACCACGAGCTCTAGCATTTGCACCAGAGATCTGCTCAAGTGCCTCTGACCCCTTCCAGGCATGCAGGTATATCAGCCCAAAACTGTGATTCAGCAAGGAATGGTAGGAAGACCATCCCCAGCTACACCATGCTCAGACCCAAGCTAGCGCCTGCAAGTGGAAAAGCAGTATAGGGAACCATGGAAGGACACAGACAGGTTCCCCACCAGAGTTCAAACACAGCTCAAATGACATGTAAAAAGAGCTCACTGGTTAATCACTTAGTACTGCATGTCTCTCATTCATATCATAAAGTGATGGCAATATTCACAGTGGCCGTTCAAGAGGCTGAAGGAAAAAGTAGGTGAGGGAGCTATGGGTTAAGGGTAATGGACAGCAGCACCACTGTGGGCACAAGTTAGGATCCAGGCTGCAGACAAGGGAGGTGACAAAGCTCTCTAAAGCAGAGTTTGCATCTTCCCCAAGTGCCCAGCCTTTTCTATCACAGCCATCTCTGTCTCCTCCAAGGAATGAATTCAGCAGCCTCCAAACAAAGGAGAAGGATGCCCAGAGGCAGAAAAGGCTTTTCCACTTGACACTGAAGCAGTGTGTTCCTTAGAGCCCCTTTCCACCCCTGCTGTGCCAACGTAGCTAATGACTCAAATCCCCTGCTCTGTTGGTAAAGGCTGACCTCACATGCCCTCCGGGAGAGAGTACTGACAGGCTTTCCCCTCTTGCACTACCCAGCTGCTTTCAGATCAACAGCTGTGTGGACCAAACACAGAGTGAAGGTGCAGCAGGGGCCCAAGGAGTACCTTCTTTGAGGCTTTAAAGGTAAGAGCATCAGAAATGTTCCTTTGCATTATCTTAAACATGAAGTGCTCCTTTGCAGAAATGCTCCTTTGCATGCTCCTAGCAACTCTATTTGGGCACTGGCAAGGTCAGAGACAAAAAAACAGATTCTCCCCTTAGCCTTGATTAGACATGGGCAATTCACCTTTTAACCCTCCGTGGTGCAATGCTGGGCACAACGGTTAGGAGAGAGGTTAGTCCTCCTGATCTGATAACCTCCAGTTCCCTGTGGTAGGGTGCCCTTCCACTGAATTAGCTGGGAGCTGAGACTTGGAAAGGCTGTGATGGCTGACTTGCTTCCTTTCACCCAAGCATGCCAGCTTGCAAGTTGGGCCCTCACCTCCATCGTGACGTTGTACACATCCACAGGGACACATTCTAGGCCCTCATCGCCGCAGCAACCCGCACATCTCATCAGAGGCACACAGGATGGCTTGAATATGTACTCCACCTCATCAGGGTACTCCTGGAAAATGTCCACCAGGGTCTCAATTGTCCTGCAGAAGCTGCGCTCATAGACTTCCAGGAATTTGATAACTAAAAGAAGGAATGGAGGGAACAAGTTAATGCAAACTTAGCTCAAGAACGTCTAGTGCTTCCCCACTTAAAATGAGACAGTTGCAACACATCTACCACATGCTCTTCACCAACAGTCTTGCAGGCAGGCCTAAGTCCTTTGCCTCTACCCCCTACACACACACACAAATCAAGTGGGCACAGAAGGAGACAATCTTCTTATTACTGCTTTAGGGCAGAGGCAAATTAGACCACAGCCTCACTTATATTCCGTGCTATCCCCCATACCCTTGGATATGCTGCCACGAAGCATACTAGCTCAGCCAAAAGGCACCTGAGGCTGCTGAGGATAATCTGTGCTCTAGGTTAAAACCCTTCACTGATTTGCCATTTATCGCTTTTCAAAAACAGCCAGTGGATGCCCCAGTGGCTTTTAGAAGGCAAGGGAATAAGCCAGAAGCATCCTTTCTACAGCATTCAGAGCAGAGACCCTTCCAAGAACAAGCAGAAGGTTCTGAACCATGCATTCACGTATCTTCACTCTTCCAGTCAGCCACTTCTTTTGCTCATGCAGAACATTCACCTCAACAGGCCACCTCAGAGCCATGACAGCACTTGCTACAAGTCACAGCCTCCGTGTCTCCACGCTGACCACTTTCCCAGAACAAGGAATCAAGCCACCCACTGAAAGACTGAAAGCAAGTCCACAGCACCCCCAGGATTAACCAGACCATACACTTGGCTACCAAACCACAACGAGGCAGTGCGGGAGGGGGAACAGGGTGGATCTGCCATGATCTCCCGCCTTCCCTACCAATGGAGCAAACACTAACTGCTTGCGATCTGCACTGATTTCACAAGCATTTCTCAATGTTTTCTAGTTTCTTGCCAAAGCTTCATTCTGTTGCTTGGTCAAGGGTTGGAGAGAATTAAAGAGATGAGAAATAGGATAGATAAGTACACACACACACACAAAACCCAGCTGCTAGTACAGTTCTGCAAACAGTGAGTACCTAGAGCCCACCAGGCCTCCTAGCTCTACCAGCACACAGGTAAAGGAGGATGTCCCAAATGGAGCAGAGGATAAGAGTACACACAAAGAGATAGTACCTGCCCATGCTGTTATGCACTATAATGATCCACCTGTACAGTATGCAGAGTCCTACAACACCAAGGTTGATAACTCAGAGTGATAAGAGCAAACTGCTTGCATCATGGAAAAAATGGTCTCCAGTAAGCATTTCTAAAGTGCCCTGAACTTGTGACAAACTGGCATAAAGGTTACTTTGCCACAAAAATGCAAAAGCTGCAGGGCTGGGAGCTCACAGCCCGCAGTTAATTGTTGAGAGTTAATTCTAGGTCACACAGAGCTGACAGTGCCACAGTCCTGAGAGCGGGTACAAGAGGGGAGGAGCTTCCATCCAGGGAGTCTGAAGTGTCAGAAAGCGTGAGCAGCTATTAAAAGAGAAACTGGCTTGTGAAAAGGGAAATGTAGCCTGGCAGGCATGGACTGCTTGTTGGTATTCCTCGTCTAGAAGACAGCATGTTTCTGTTCCTTGTCCTTTCCCTTCCTCTTTCCTCTTCTCCTAACTGCAGTATGCCTCCTGTCTATTCTTCTATCTTGTCTGTGGCTACCTCCTTCTTCCTGTTCCACTTCAGAGTGACCTTAGCCACAGTGTATATTCTAACAAGTTGAACAATTTAATACGTGGGAAATTCAGTAGGCACAATGACAGTGGCTGAACTGCACTGTTGATCATTCACACTGTGCCAGCAGGAAGGATCTGGGAACTCTGGCAGAGAAGGCACAGTTCTGGACAAAAATGCTTGCAGACCTACGTCAAGGGGAGGGAGGGAAGAAAAGAGGGAGGGAAAGTGGCAGTTACCTGTGCAGATCAAATGCTGCTCACCGCAGTAGTCTGGGGCATAAAGAAGGAAGAAACCGAAACAGAGTCAAAAACTGAAGTGAACCTGATTAATGTCTGCCATGCTTCCTAAATGTTTGCACTGCACAAACAGCTGGATTACACCAGAGAATACCGACTACAGATTGGCTGCAGAACAGCACACTCAACTTCTTTAGCAGAGCCTTTGCTTTCACGGCTGCACCCTCATGACTATACTTGAGATCTGGGAGATTTGGCATGACCAAATCCTTTCCTTAAAGAATCTAGGAGATTTTGCCCTTACTTTAACATATGATGATTTTCCAAAGTCTGAATTAGCCTCTGGAAAGGAAATGGGGAATCTTTCTCCAGTGGCCAGTCAGAAGATCCTGCCATGGAAGGCTTTGATTTTGCTGGACGCAGAGCATTCACTCGTACACTGTGAAACGCTCCGTAGTTCATTTGCACAGTTAGCACCCAAACCAGAGCACATGACTGAGGCACAGCCATCCTCACAGCAAAGCCCTGCCCCTGCTACCATACCTACGCTTACTCCCATGTACTGGGAGTCATATTCCACACTTTGCTGGGCTGATTCAGACTGTGCTTCCTTTCCATTGGTTGTGCCAGGGACGGAAGAAGGTCTGCCTTTCATGGGGAAACATAGGAAGGTCACTGAAGGACTAATAACACTTGGCCTGTTCCCTTCCTGCAATTCGGGCTTCAGCCCACGTTTAAAGTTAATCCCGCATCTAACCCACTCTCCTACCCCTCAAAACACCTCCAGATTTGAGTCAGAGGTTCTTTGTCAATGGAGGGGGAAGTAAGATTAAAACCCAGTCCAGGCCCACATTAACTCTTCAGGGCAGGCACAGCCACAGCAGGCAGGATTACGTCCAAATTTGGAGCAGTTGAGTGGGAACATGCTATACTAGAAAAGGAACAAGTTCATGATCACTCTGCCCCCCTTGCCATCAATGGCTTAGCAGCCATGCAGACATACTGTTCTTTTAAAAATAAAAGTGCTGCCACAAGTGCTGGTGGTTTCTTTTATTTATACCAGAAAATCTTTTCTCGTGGAACAAAGAGTGTTTGTCTGCCTCCTCTACAACTTCCCGTGCCACAAAACATGTGGAAGGCTCTCTTGAGCACAAAAGGGTAGGGGCTGAAGCTAAACTTACAGTCTCCAACCAGAATGAATCCATCCCGAATAAAAACCTGTTACAGCTCGACATCTCAGAGACAGCATGAAAAGGCCAAAGACACAAAATCACCTTTTACCCCAACCCCAAAGCCTCCAAAAGCTTCAGTGGAAGGAGCTACAGGACTGTCCTCGTGGAACACAGGCATATCATCGTCCCCTCTTTGCAAAAGAGAAACCGAGGTACAGAGAGAGAACCTCCAAGGTCAAACAGCAGGATGGAAGTAGAGCCAGGAAGGTGATGCCAACAGTCTTGATTTCTAGCTCACAGATCTATCTGCATCGCAGAACCAGAAATAGCACCAAGGCAACAGCACCAAAGTCTCACCCCTCACATTGCCAGACTAACTTCTCCCGCAATCCCATCAGCCTTCTTGGGACAGGGAATCAAATTTGATTCTTCTCCTCCCCAGGAAGTTAGTCGGACAGAACAAATGGCACAGATGAGGACACTAGCTCCTTTCTACCAACAGCAGAGGACTGGCTACCAAAATAAGCCTCACAGCAGGCTCCATTTTGATCCCTCTGGAGTCACTGAACCTTCTTCTGTTGACTTCAGCAGGAGCAAGGGTCAAGCGCAACAGGCGGCAGCCTGCCAGCAGATTTTGCCCGTGCAAAATGGACACCTATCCCAAACACAGCCTGCCACAAGCCCCTGGCAATGCACACTTAGCCTGTCACACCAATAAAGTTACAGAAATTGAAATCCACTGCACCACCACAAAAAAAGCCAAAGTGGGCCCACACTGCTAGAGCCCTCTGCTGACCTCCAGCTGGAATAACGCGGGAGGTCACCACCCGCGGGGACCCTGCAAGACCTTCACCAGACCCCGCCACGCAGCCAGCGGTCTGCTCCGCTACGAAGGTATAGGGAAAACACTGTCGGGATGGTCTTAAAGCAGCTGATGATCACCTCAGCCTCAAGGCTCCAGAGTCCACAGCCCTTTAACCCCACTTCTGAACTGAGGACTGCAGACAGAACGCCAATCTCCTGCAACGCACTGGGGTCCACAAGACAGGGCTCCTGTGGGAGGTTGTCACTAACTATCCTGGGGGCTGACCATTCTCTCGGTCTACACTTAATTGCACAAACCAACAAGGCAGAGGACAATGCCACAGCCTAGCCTTTGGGCAGCTGGACAGACCCAAAATCACAACAGCTGCTGAGGCACCACCTTGTTTCCTCACCAGGCAATTGCCTTGCCCCTACTGGACCACAAGCAATAAATTGAGTAGAACCTATTGGATCACACTGCTGTCTCCTGAATCTGCTACGCCTGCTAGCTCAGACTGGAGTGAAAGGGTGTATTTTTCAAGCCTGGCTCTGTACAGCACTAAGCAATAACCTAACTGTGGGGTACCTGGGACTGTCAGGAGCCACAACTCCAGAAAACCACCCTGGGCTGCCCTTCTCTCCGTCTCTCCCCCAGAGACCCGGCTGGAGCCGGGGCGTTCTTTTAGGCTTTGTTCAGAGATCAGCCCTGGCCACCCAGCCGGGCACCACCACAGTGAAGATGACAAATCCCTTCCTACAGCACTGTGGCGAATGCCTAGCAAACTGTTCGCCGCTACTCAGCTCTTTGTGTGCGCGAGCATGTGTGTGTGTATATATATATATATATATATATATATATATATATAAATGAGCGTGTGTATGTGCACAGGCGCACGCACGCAGTTTTCCTCAGAGTTGTGGGAAACCAGCAGTGGGCTGGGCTGGGCCGGCCCTGCTGCACGCCCCGGCCCCACGGCAGCCCCGGGGGCGGCCCCACGGCCACCTGGTCCCCGCACCCCGACCGCCACAGCCCCGCGAGGAGGGGGGGGCGCGGCCCATCGCAGCGAAGGGGTTAATGGCGGCGGGCCCCCGCTCCCGCCGCCGCTCCCCGGGAGGTGGCGGTGTTGGCCGCCGCCGGCTCCCGGGACTCGGGCCTCCTTTCTCCGAGGCCCCCGCCACCCCGCCCGCCCCCCGCCCGCCGGGCAGCCCCCCCGCGCTTACCTTCATTGGGTTTCCGCTCCCCATCCCCCAGGGCAGGAGCTGCCTTCGACAACTGCAAAGATAACAGAAAATCGGTCACCACACGGAGCCGCGGCGCGGTCCCGGGGCGCGGGAGGGCTCCCGGGCAGGAGGCGGAGGGGACGCCCCCGAGGTGGAGCCGTTATATTCCCCCCGGGCGGGCACAGAGGCGCCTTTTGTTCCTCCCGTCCCCCGAGGAGCCGAGCGGGACACGGGCGGGACGGGCCGGACCCGCGCTGAGGGAAGGGGCAGGCGGGAAGGCGGCGGCCGGGCCTCCAGCGCGGCGGCCGACGGAGGCCCCGGAGGGAGAAACGGGTCCCTCGGGAGCGACCCTGGGCGGTTTTAAGCCAAAACCAGCAAGCAAATGTGGGCCCAGGGGAGAAAAGTAACAGGAGTGACCTTCTACTGCTGACATGACCAGTGGGGCCTGGGGAGCATCGCTCTCCTCCCCTGGCTTCCACTTCCCCTGGGAAAGGCGAATCCCCTCTGGAGGGCACAGGGGAATGAAGGGTGGCCAGGAGCAAAAGGGCATCGCTCCCCTCTCAATGTCACAGATGTCCGTGCTGAGCAGCGGTGGCCAGCGAGGCGCTGGTATCTGTCCAGGTGTCAGGGCGGTTAGCTGTGAGAGCACTGCTTTGCCGACAGCACCGCCAAACTGCCCAGGTTTCCTTCCTTTCCTCTGGAAGGGTGAGCAGTGCACACCCTCACTTAACGGTGCCGGTCCCCAGCCTTGCATGGCCATGCTCCCGTTCCTCTGCTCCCTGTGGCTTCCCCTGGGCAAAACCCAGGCAGGCCCCAAGCTCTGTGTTCACTCCTTCTGCCTTCTGGGGTGAGGGGCATTTCCAAACCGCTGACGCAGGCAGGAGTGGCGACAGGTAACCCACCCCCAGACCGGGATGGAGAAGCGTGACACCACTGTGCTAAGGAAGTCTTTTTAATTCCAGGTGAACCAAAAACTCCACTCTTCCTGCTCTGCATGAGGGCTTTGGCTCTGACATAACTTTCCAGCCAAGTCAGGTTTCCCCCTGCTGTTCTGTTCTGAACCAAAACTGAAAAATGCCCAGCTTTCTTCACTTCTCCAAGCTATGTTGCCACCTGTGTGACGCCATCCACCCCAGAACCTGCTGTCTTTCAGCAGAGGCCCCACAAGAGAGTGGTGATACATACAAAAATACTGCTTCATCAGCGATATGCTGCATTTAGGCTTAGAAAAAGGCCCTCTGATGTCGTAGCTAGAGACAGAACTGAGCACGCCAAACGAAATCCACCCCAAGCTCACAACGGGAATCCACCACCTATGATCTTCCAGGCAGCCCCATGCACAGGGCAGCACCACCCTCCGAGCAGCCCAAAGTGTCAGCTTTTAAAAGGAGGGGGCAAGAGAGCCAGCAAAACCCTAGAAGCCCCTTTCCCAGCCGCTGCTTTGTGTCTGTGCACAGTTCCCTTTGTCTAAAGCCTCCTTGTTACTTATTTCAACCGAAGTCTTTCTGTACCTGGGCACAACCCAGCAGCCCAGATGTGTGCCACCCTGTACGTGGATCTGTTTCTTCTCTGGGAAGGAGAGGGCTGCGTGCGCAATCTCAGTGCTGGGACAACAGTTTAAAAAGCAGGTTCCTAGAAACAGTTTCATTCCTGAAGTGTGAAGGTCACTGCAACAGCAGGAACAAAATGGAGGCAGTAGAGGTTGCAGAGGCCTTCCAAAGCCACTCAGTGCCTGACACCCTAAGGGTCAAAAGAAAACCGCATCAAGGGCAGAAACGCTTCAATCAGTGTTGGAGCACAGGAACAGGATCACGAGCCAAGTCAGTTTATCCAAGTCACAACACCTCCAGGACCTTTTGCAAAGCGATTTTGGGTTCACACACACAGAATGACCGTGATGGACCGTGCAAAATCAGCTCAGAGACACTTTGAGGGTCATTCTACCCATTCTCTATGCCAGGCTGCCCAGCCAGCTGCCAAGCCCTCTGCCTCCTTGCATGCACATACAGTGCACGGGTGATGGGAAGCAGAAGCAAGCCACACACTTCCACTGCTCACCTGCACCCAGCCAGCACCTCACCCTGCCCCTGATGTACTGGAGCAGAAAAGCCTGAACTCCTGTGGAACTCACCTAGACCTGGGTTGTGATCCCACCCCAAGGATGGGAAACGAGATCAGTACCAAGTCTGTAGAGGGCTTCCTAACATTCCCAGGGAGTTCTCACCAGAAACCCAAAAGGTTTCCCAGAACTCAGTAACATGCTCTCTGCTCACTATACCAAGAAACTCTCCTGCCCTTTTGGCAGTGCCTTTCACCTGCGGCTAGTGCCCTCAAAGCCCATCCACCAGAACAGCAGGCAAGGCAGGGGCTTTTGCCTCACCTTAAACCAGTCTGCTACGTATCAGTCAGGGCAATGGGGAACCAGAAGCGTTCCAAGGGACAAGGCCTGGCATGCCCTTCGGTGGGAGCCTGAAGGTCACACTCTCCTCTGCTGGCTTTTGGCATTACCCAACAGCTCTGCAATACGATTTCCTTCGAACAGATTTTCAACATTTCACAGAGGTGTGGAAGCAATTCCTGGGTTCAAAAGCAGGATAAATGACCCCAGGAATGGGGCTGACCAAGGGGAAACTCCTTTCTGTGCCCTTCAGAGGTTGCAGCAAATGGGTATCCCGCAGTGGAGTAAAACTCTCCCTAACAAATAAACCTGCACCTTCCCTGTCTCCCTTCTCCCCAAGTCCCTGTCCCAAGCACATTATATACTCTGAAGGGAGAGAAAAGGTTAATCATGTCATTCCTCTCTAACCATCATCCCCCCTCACCACTACCACCAGCACTCTTTCTCTTCCTTCCCCTCCCCCTAATCTGTGCAGGCTCATTAAAAGAGCTTTGTAACTGTTTAGGACTGGAACAAACAATCCATCCACTTTGAGAGGGACTCTGGGACAGGAGTTAAGGCACTTTTCGTCTTAGGCGCTAGAAATTCTCAGCGGTTTCTGCTTAAGGGGAGGGGGGGGGGACAGGACTCACTGCACTCCTTCTCTATTGTACGTGCAAATAGAGGTCAGTAATCCTGAAAGCTGCCAGCACAGCCAAGGCACCTCTGACACGAAGCAGGGCAGACAGGAGAGCAGATTTGGGGTTGCTCAGGAATCAGCAAACCCCTCTGAGATGTCAGCATGGGCTTCCCTCTTCCTGCTCCAAAGGAGTGCTCCCTCCCAGCCTGTCCTCTGAGCACAGACCTGGAGCAGCAATGGGGAAGGTGACCCGCTGTGCTCTAGCTGCCTACAGGCTAGAGAAGCAGGTTCTGGTGGCTCCCCATCGTGGCCTGGCACAGAGGCACACCAAAGGCAGGGAGCCTGGTGGGTGTGTGATCATTAGCAGTCTAGCCACAGGCTCATTCTCCCTCCCTCCTTGTCTGATCCCTGCCTCTTCCCTATGGCAATACAGCTGGTGTGTCCAGGTCCCTCTGCAGTTCAGGGCAGGAACAGAAGAGTCCCCAGACCCTCATCAGGGGTGACCTGCCACTAGGTTCTCATCAAGACCACAGACAAAGGAAGATGGGGAATGACAGACCATACCCTGTTCTTTAGGAAAAGGGGGGGGGGGGAGGGGGGCTGGAAGGGGACAACAATGCAACCTCTCTGACCCCACGGAGCTGGAGGACTGCACTGCAGCTCAGCACAGCAACACATGGGAGGGTGGCACTGCAAAACCACCTTTTCTACCCTCTCCTGTGCAGGAAGGCTGTCGCCACCAGCAGAGGCAGACACCTGTGGCATCAGCACCACCCAGCCCCGACCATGGCACAATTTCCCACTGTCCCTGCCTGGCTGCAGAAGCGACCCTAACAATAAGTCATCCCCCTGCCACCTTCACCAGAGAAGCATCCCTCCCCTCCTTTGCATTCAGGAAAGCTGCCCGACACACACTGGACCCCGCTTTCCCAATGCAGCCTCTGCCAGAGCTTTTATTTAATTCTCTCCAACACGCCTGGCTAACTAGATAGGTTTTATTCAGCACGACAGCCAGATTAACAGTACAGATAAATATTATCATCAAAGCACAAAACCCTAGACCCGGCGTGAAGAGTCATGCCTTCTGCCATGCCCAGAGACATTGTCAAGCTGCCTACGTGAGATCTGCTGGTATTTCTAACGTTCCCATCACCGTAGTGCCCAGGCGATCAACGGACAAATAAGGACAGAACTGAAGGGCAAGACCTCACCATTGATCTGCCTGAGCACTTACATGGCCTGCATTGCCCAGCTATCTGAACATCTCGCATGTCACAGCATCCCCCCCCCAAACCCACCGACACCCCGTTAATTCTTCCCTACTTCTTTTCCCACCGTTATCCTCTCTCTCATCGGCATCATCCTCCTGCCCAGGAGAACTGGCAGCACGAGGCTTTTACACAGCTCCTGAGGACAGGACCTGGACTCTACCTGATCTGCCGCTTCCTCCTCTGGGGAAGAGGAAGGGGAGGGGAGAAGGAGCAAGGGGAGGGTTAAAGGGTATTATCACTGCACACGGGTACAGAGTTGTCTAACCTACAGCCGGGAACAGACACTGCTGCACAAAGTTTACTGAGGAGCTGGGAAGCAAAGAAATCCCCGGTTTAGGTGACGGTGGAAAAACTCTTGGAGAGTGGAAAGAATTGTCCCATGAGCCAAATCTGGCAGGCAGGCAGCACGGAGCTGCTCTGTGCCACACTCGAGAGAGAACTGCGCCTCGGTTCCCATCGAGCACAGCACAATGTGCGGCTGTCACCGGAGAAAGCAGAGATATAACAGGCTAGAAACAAAGCGTGCAGTGCCTGCATGACTTCGGTTACAGCTGAAATGGCTCCTAATTGGGGAGTTACCTTCCAGCATCGGTGCTGAACAAACAATGTGAATAAGTAGTTACTTTGCAACGTTTATTATCACGACTGTGGGAGATGATCTGGCCCGCGTCCTCTCCAAGTGCCAGGCAGAAATGGCAGGAGAGAACTAACCTGTTATAGCCTTTAAAACATAATCCCTGCCCGCCTAGCGAACAGCCACTTTCACGTGGGCACTCTGTCTAAACCCTGTAATATCTCTTGGCAACACAGCCCTCTTGACTCTTTAGAAAAGGCAGATTTAGAGGAGAGGTTTCCACAGAACGCTTTTTTCTTTCTTAAAAGAAAAAAGTAAGAGAAAGAAAAGAAGGAAGAGTTGGTTTCTAATCCCTCGTGAATGCCAATGAGGCAAAAGTAAAAGTGATCGAGGAGGAAGAGAAGAGAAAAATGCACGTTTTTTTAATCTCGATGCAGGAGATATGTATTGTGATTTTTTTTTTTTTCTCTCCAATCTGGAAGAAATTCAGGATCCATTTTGTCCTCTTTGATCTCTATTTGTTTTTCCAGCTAGGTATTTTGAACTCCGCTCGGCAGCACGAACCCGAGCTGGGACCTAAGGCAAATACCGCCGAAACACCCTTTGCAATGTCAGGAGACCCGGGGACGGGAGGCGAGGCTGATGCAAGAAGCCAGCGCGCTGCCTCCCTACCCCGCGCCAAGCAGCGCCCCGGCGGGACCCCCGGCCCCGCCACCGCCGCCCCGGTGAGAGCCCCCCCGCTGGGGGCGTGCAATGCGCGCACACGTGCGCGGGCACTCCGCACGGCGCTGCCGGCCGCTCCGAGGGGCTGCGGGGAGCCGGGCAGCGCTTCTCCCCCCCCCCCCTCCCCCCCGCAGCGCTGCACGCACGTGTGTGCGCTGCGGGAACCCACCGCACCCGCTGCCAGCGGCGCGGAGGCATCGCACCGAGCAGGTGGGAGGCGAGGGGGGGGCGAAAAACTAAAAAGAGGGGGGTAAAGTCTTTTCCATCGCGCCGTCCCACACACCCTCCCCTGCCGTACGCGGGGCACAAAAGCCCCGGTCCCGCGCAGTCCCCGCCGCTTACCTCCGCGCTCTGCAGATAGAGCAGCGCCGCCAGCCCCCAGTGGATCCAAGTGAGCAGAAAGTTCATGGTTGCCGGCGCACGCAGCGGAGCGGGGCCCGCCGCGCTCCGCCTCGCCGCCGCCCCGCCGCCGCCGCCCCGCCGCGCTCTCGCCCGCGCCTCCTCCGTGCCCGCCGCCGCCGCCGCCTCCTCCTGGTGTGTCGCCGGCCGGGCGCTGCGAGGTTCTCCGCGAAAAGGAGGGTTCCTCTTCGGGGTCTCCGGTTTCACCCCTCCATAAGCCCGGCTCTCCGCCGGCCCTCGCTGCTGCTGCTGTTGCTGTTGCTCTCTGCGGGCGCTCCGCCGGGCCGAGCGCAGGCTCCGCGGCCGCCCAGCCGCCGCTGCTCGGCCCCCACCACTGGGCAGTCCGAGCTCCACAGCGGCGCCCGTCCGCGGCCGCGCTCCCCTCGCCGGGGCAGCAGGCACCCGCGCCGCGCTCTCTCGGTTTCGCGCACTCACGCCAAAGTTTGCGCGGAAAGTTTCAATGCATCTCTTTGCCTGCGCCCCCTTCTCTTCGCGGTGACTGCCTCCGGCGGCTCCCCGAGCCGGGGTCGCCTCCCCGGGGGGAAGGAGGGGGCTGCTCCCGCCGCCACTCGGCCCGACCCCTCTCCGCAAGTCGAGGTGGTGGCGGCGGAGGGGACGAACAGAGCGCTTTCCTCCTGCCCACTCTGTCTCTCTCTCTCTCCCTCTGTTCACCGCTTAAAAAAAAATCAGAATAGTAATGTAAAAAGAAAAAAAAAAAAAAGGAAAAAATCCAACCTGGCTCTAGAGAGGGAGGGAACTGGGGCGGGGAGAGGCTCTGCAGGAAAGGGAGGAAAAAAATCCCAGCGGATCAAAGTATAGATGGGGAAAAAATAAATTAACCGAGAGGATAAAGCAAGGCGGCAAGCCAACAGCAGGTCCCGGTGCCCGGGGAGGGCTCTGCTCCCGCGGCGCGCTGTCCCCCGCCGGCACGGCGTGCGCTCCTCGCCCCGGCGCGGCGGCTCCGCGCAGCGCCCGCTCCCAGCGCAGCGCCCACCCCGCCGCCTGCTCGCCGGCGCTCTGCAACTGCTCGGCGCGGCAGCGGGGAGAGACGCTCCGGCAAAGTCCCACCCTCCTCGGCTATTCCCCTCCCTCCTCCCCTCCCATCCCTTTCCGCGATGGACGAAAAGGCCACGGAGGTAAAGGGGTGCGCGCCCCCTCCGCCGCTCTCTCCGCCCGCCCCACGCGGGACTGCAGCCCCCCGTGGCTCGAGCATTTCGCCCCCAACCTCCGAGCCCTGCCGTGTTCCCCCCGGCCGCCGTCACTCCGCCCGTTCTGCCCTGCCGATGGATGCACGTTCGGGTCAAAATTCACCTTGCCCGTGGGAATCGCTTCAAAGTCCAGCAGAGCCATTTGGGGGGAGGGGGCAGCAGGGGACAAATTGCCATCACAGATCACAGTCATCATCTGTCCTTCCCACTCCCCCATCCCCCTCCCCCCCCCCCCCCCCCCATCCTCCGAGGGCTTCGCTTTTCAGATACAGGGATTTCTCCTCACCTACGTGCCAAAGGGGTGGAGGAGGGATCATCCTCAGCTGGGTTTTATTTCTCTGTATGCAGTGTCACCACCCTTGGCACAGTGGGCCTGCCTGAGCGGTCCTCCGGGGTGCAGAAGGGTGTCCCCGTTGAAGAGGTGAAGACTCTTGCCAGACAAACCCCACCCTGCTTTCTGGGAAGGTATTCGAAGGGCAAGCTTTGTCTTATTGAGGTTACTGCAGGCATCCTCCAACTGAGCTCCCTTGCTCTGGTCACAGGCAAAATTTCCCCATACGGGATGTACAGTAACAATATGCTTGTGTCAATGTATACAAATCTCCCTCCTGCCACCATCCTCTGAGGATCTTGGGTGGTGAACCAAGTGGAAGTCCAGACTGGCAGATTCCTGGGGCTCACCATGGGCTGGAGGAAGGGGAAAAAAGGACATCGAAGAAAGAACAGGCCATATTATCGTTGGAAAGCAGGTATTCCAGTGCTGTGCCACAGACTGCTACTGACACAGGCAACGCGTTGGCTCTACAGAGGCACCTGCTGGCTGAGGGAAACTACGAGGCATAAAATACAATTCTTTGCTTTCAGTAGATCTTAGACCTCTCCTTCCCTTTGTTTATTTTTGTTAAGATTTTGTGTCAGTGCAGTCTGTGGGGATGTCACCGGGTCACACTGACCCGAGGAAGGCTGGGACGTGAGCGACAGGTCTGTCCAAGCAGGGAGCGACTCCAGCTACCGTCTGACCCCTCCATTGCCCCGCTGCACAGTTGCACCCCCGGTGATGATGGCCCTTCCTTCTGGGCAAGGGGAGAAACCCAGCCTAGTGGAACCCTGGAGGAGAATATAATCCCTTTTCCCTCAGGGATCACTTTTCTACAGAGTGGTGGGTGTTGTTCAAACATTGCAGAAGAATCCCTTTTTCTTTGCTTTCTCCATTTTTTTTTAACCAATTGTTGCAGAGGGTTTCTGACAAAATACATATTAATAGAATCATTGAATTATAGAATGGTTTGGGTTGGAAGGGACCTTCAAGCTCATCTTGTTCCAACCCCCTGCCATTGACAGGGACACTTTTCACTAAACCAGGATGCTCAAAGCCCCATTCAACCTGGCCTTGAACACTGCCAGGGATGGGGCAGCCACAGTTTCTCTGGGCAACCTGTATCAGGGCTTCACCACTCTCACAGGGAAGAATTTTTTTCCTAATATTCATACAAAATAACCAGTTTCCCATATTCAGACTGCAATTGTCAAAAATATGCTCTAAGAGATAGTGAGACTTCAAGTCCCCACTCCTGAGAAAATAGGGGATTTTTCACAAACTAAAGGTAAAGCCAAATTAAAGCTCCTGGAGGCAAGAACCACTTCCGACTGTTACAGTTTGCTGTGAGCAGCTCCTTCCTTATGCCAGGCCTCTGCACTTCAGGCCAGCAGGAAGCAGATAACTCACTAGGTGCTTTTTATTCTTTAATTGGCAGAAGTTCTTTGGTGCCATTTCCCCTCCTGCTGGGTGAGCAGTTTATGAATGAAGGTGGTTCTACTGCAAACACCTTGCAATTTGAACACTTCTCTGGATGGACAAAATCCCTCCAACTGCTGCACTACCGAAAGCCCTCCACAGAAATCTCACAGAAACTATTAAGTCCATGAGTGGCAAGGGGTAGCCTTATCCCCTTAAAGCTACAATGTACTGTAAATAATGTACAGAACCCAGCTTCTAAAATTACCACTACAGGATTGCTCATCTCGTCTTACGTTTCATCTGGATCCTGTGATCTTCCCACCTGCCAACATCCTGTTACCAGGAAAGCGGTGTATGTGAGGTTTGTGCAAATGGTCATGTACTTGCCTGAATTCTGGCACCGGCAAGGACATTCATGTGCCTTCCATGTTAACGTTACACCGCAATAAATACTGACATTGCCATAGAATCCGCAGCGTTCGTGCTGAGCACCACTCACCAAAAAAGAAAATCAATGCATGTCCTGGCTACACTTCTTGTTATCTTTCCCATGTCAGTGACTCCTGAGACAGAAAGAAAGACAGCATCAACAGGCAGGATTTTAAATATGGAATACCCCAAAGCACGAGCTCCATGTTTAGGCACTTAAGGGAAGACGCGTGATTTGCAGAGGGGCCGGGAGATGACTTATTTGGAGCTGTGAGACGCTGAGAACTTTTAAGAACCTGACCATAATTTAGGACTTCATCCTGCAGATTGAGTTCAGTGGAAGCTTTGGCATTCACTTCAAAGGGCATAAGATCAAGCCCTTATTTAGGGGCTCAAAATACAAAATTAGGAGCCTAAATTTAGGCATCCATTTTTTAATACCTTGACCCACGTTAGCAGTACCCTTCGTCTAATCCTTCTGTTTGACCTGGAAAGAGGGGAATGTCAGTAACTCTTTCCTGACTTAGGAGAAAGAACCTGTGGCTGACAAGGGGGAAATGCAGGAAACGAACTCCTCGCTCTTGGTTTATTTTATCTTCCCTCTCTCAGATCCCCAAAATAACAGCTGGGGCAATGTTAGCAGGGGAGCTCAGGCCCACTTTGAAACTGGAACAGGAAATGTGAGAAATGCAGGCGTTAAAAAACAAATGAAACAATATTTTCTTAGAATTACATCTCGTGGGCAAGTCTGGGGGGAATCTGGATTTGGATAACCTAAATTGGGAGAGAAGTCAGGGAAACAAAGAGTAACTTTAAACATTTTAGTGCCAGGGCTATTTCTTAACACACAGCTCACTCTCTGGTTTCAAATGTAGTCCCTCAGTGCTGAGCCTGGTGATCAGCACAAGGAAAACCAACGTCTTGTTCTAGCAGACATGATACAAAGGCCAGAATGAGGTGAGCTGTTGGGAGAAGCAGCCAGGTGAACGGATCCTAAATGTCCTGAGGTATTTCAGGTGCATCCTTCCCTGTAGGAAATCACAGGGACACAAGATGCAATAACCAGGCTATGGCCGAGTCGGCTTCAGCATGGTCACAAGACAGTGAATCAATTAACCTTATTATTGTGATTATTTTTGTGACGGTTGCACTAACAGGGAAGGGAGCAGCTGTAGGTATAACAAAAGGTTGCTCCTCTGAGATGCTTTGCCAACGCTCCCTCTACTGTGGTATAAATAGAATACATGCAGCGGGCAAGGGCAGCACTAGGCTTGTATCTGCAAGCATTAGAGATGCCCATGCACCACCCACTGGCAGTTTCACTTGCCTCTGTCACTCAGGAGTTTATCCAAAGATTTTCAGCTCCTGGAAAGAGAGAAAAATGCCCATGAAGATGCAGCACTGTCACTCACTGTCCTTTTGGGTTGATTTTGTACCCTGGGTGCTTCTCCCACAGGCAATAATTACAGCAGATGATGAGTTGCCCCCCCCCCCCCCCCCCTTTCCTTACTCTCCATCCCTACTTTCCTCCTGTCTCTCACTGGATATTTGTATTTTCCTGTCTTTTTTTTTTTTTTGCAGCAAGCAGCAGAGGCAGTGACAAGTGAGTGGAGGGAACAGGACAGGTCCTCAGCCATCGGTAGGATTGTTTTCATCTACAGAGAGATCAAGAGACTCAAACAGCTTTCTTTATGCTGAAACTACATGTAATGTCACTGTAAGGATACAGACATCTTGACCCTGACTTAGATGTCCCCAGGTAATAGGGCTGATAGGAATATACACACATGATTATTGTGATAGTATTTCATCTTACACTTACATCACAGTCCCTGGAGAAGCATGAGATGGGGGAGCCTTACATATTAAATCATTTCCTGAAGGGCAGAATTCGTTTGGGCTCATTTATTATCATTTGTCCCGGAGCTCGTATTTTGCACTGAGCATAGGGAGTGGGTGTTATTCATGGCTATGGGTCTAAGAATCAAAGGCCAATTGCAGAAAAAGCTGTTCCATTGTTCGAGGTTGATTACTTGATGTTTGTGCCAGGTGCTGGACACGTGTTGCTTGCTGAAGGAGATATGATTTGATCTCAGATTTCAACATTTTGGTATCTACCAAACAAAAATAAAACTAAAGCGTGCGTATTCTTCCCCTGCAATGCAAATGGCCCTTAGCAATATTGACCTGAATAATAAGTAAACCTATACAACAATCAAATCAGAATTACATCAGTGACACAACAAATGAGTACGGTAACAGGGATACAGAAGTTGGACAGTCAACACATGC